CAAACTGAAAGGAGACCACGGCAGGCAGGACAGAGGTCCAGCTTGGGCTGGAGCCCAGGAATGGGTACGAGCTTTCCCATGGTTATCTGATGCCATAACAAGCAGGGTTAGCTGGCTCAGTGTCACCCTCTGCCAGATCCAAGGGGAAGTGAAAGTCCATTGCTGCGGGCCTGTCTCATCCCCTGTTTGCTTTGGCTATGTTGTGATGGTCTTGCTGGCTTTGCCAACAGGATTTAGGTATTTGCTTTCCCGCCTGGCCTGGCTGCTCGGGCAGCTGGCATTCTGCTCCTGATTATCTTGCTGGCTAATGTTGCTCCCGGCAAGAGGGAGTTGTCTCAGAGTCGCCTGCTCCTGCCAACTTCCTGTTGCTTCTGCCCCTTTCTCAGATGCATGGGGTCCTATTTTACAAAATTATTATCACAAGACACCTAGGCTTGGGAAAGCAGGTGGTGGAGGGATACCACAGCCTTTCCCTTTAAAACGACTGCCCTAGAAGCACATACTCAAGGACTAAGAGGAATCAGGAAGTATATCAGGAAAAGAAGTGAGCCAGAGAGCCAGAGAAACCAGGCACCGATCCTACACCTTTAAAGGACTTGCTGTGCTTTCTACGAATCTCTCCTCATGCTTTCTGGGGACAATAGTTGATACTGGGGAGTAAAGGGGATCTTTGATGAAGATCACCGTAGATCCGTCAGAACTCGTGGTTGGGGAGCACTGTGGCGGAAGCATGATAGGCAGGTGCCTGATGGGAAGAACATGTGCTCAGAACAATCACAGCCCCTCCCATACCCAAGGTAACTCACGAAGCCTCAGCCACTTCACCAGCACAGTGTGCATTCAGGAGACATGAAACACCCTCCATGTGACACACTGCCACTTGGCTTTCCCAGGCTGCTAGTTAATGACTTAGAGTCATCACTGGAGAATGCAAAATAATTGAAAGCAATGCTTAGTAAATTACAGTTTCAAGGTCTTCATTGCCTTCCTAACAATTTGCAAAACCCATTTTATTGCTTTTTTAGACTCCTCGAGTTGAAATACCACTGTGTGCTGTAATTAAGCTAAGTGACATGCCAGCTGTAAAGACAAGGGCTGTGAATGATTACATTCAGCTCATGTAATCATACAGTATGGGGGTGGGGGTGGGGTGGGGAGGATGCTTGCAACAGCTGCCAATCTTCCCTCCTTACACTTCCTGCCATGATGGAAGGAATACTGGAGTCTGAAATCACCTGTTTAATGCTAGCAAGAAGTTTGACGCCAGCCTGTCTGAGGTGGGTTAGGGGCTGTCCAGTGTCAGGATAACCCCAAACCTGGCTATGCATCAGAACTCCCTGGGGAACTTTTAAAATCCAAGTCAACCTCCTCCTTCTCTCACATTGACTAATTAAGTCTAGACAGAGCCACATGTTTTTTAAGCTGCCCAAATAGTTCTGATCCTGGGGATCAGAGAACTTGCCCAGTCCAAGATGGCTATCTTTAACAAATCAGAAACAATTATTTTTGCACTTGGGAACTTCTCTCAGTATTGCTCTTTTAAATCCATCTGGGGACAGGTACTCATCCAAGTACTTTAAGAAACAGATACCTTGACCTCTATCCCCCCAAAGCTCCTTCTCCCAATGTTCCTATTTTCTTTTGGGGAACTCAGTTCTTTTGAAGCCTGCTCTATTGTTCCTTTCCCTTTCCCATGCATTCAGCTGCTAAGTTCCAGCTCTGGGATGTTTTTCTCTACCTGCCTCTCCTCCTCTCCCACCTTCCTGGCTTTATTGAGGTATATCTGCCTCCTTTTCTTTCCCGACAGCCACCCTGATAGAGGCTGCAAGGGCTTGAAGACTGGACCATTGTATGAGCCTCCCAGCTGCTCTCTCACCTTGGGTCTCTCCCTTTGCCAAGCCATTCCACCAACTGCTATCAGATTCATCTTCCTAACACTAAATAAAATCTCTCATTCAAAAACCTTCAGTGGTTTCCCATTGCCCACTGAGTTAGGTAAATACTTCCCAGAATGATATTTTAGACTCTCCACAATATTAATTCATTTGGTAAATATTTACTGAATTCCTATTATGGACTAGAAGGGACTGTGGGAATTGACATGGGGAATTGGGGTGGAGAGGTATTCCCAGGCTAAAACTTGGGAATATAAATATGTAAAGAGGCCAGGTGTGGTGGCTAACAACTGTAATCTTACACTTTGGGAGGCCAAGGCAGGAGGATTGCTTAAGCTCATCAGGAGTTGGAGACCAGCCTGGGCAACATAGCAAGACCCTGTCTCTGCAAAAAATTGGCTGTGCATGTTGGCATGGGTCTGTAGTCCCAGTTATTCTCGAGGCTGAGATGGGAGGATCCCTTGAGCCCAGGAGTTAGAGGCTACAGTGAGCTATGATTGTACCACTGCACTCCAGCCTGGGCAACAGAGTGAGACTTTGTCTCAAAAAAAAAAGTTTGTTTAAGATATGGTACTTTCCAGTAGAGAGACAACCATACAAACAAATCACTACCACAGGGAGTGACATGAATGAAGGGCGCCTGGCTCTCTAAGATAGTTTCTTAAACTACCTTTCTAACTTCATCTCCCAATTTTCCTTTCTGGTCCAGCCACATTAGACTAGACTTTACCTCTTGATCATGTTCAGGGTTGTTTTTATTTCTTCCAGGCCTCTATACCTTAGTTCACACCTTATATCCACTTTTTATAACTCTTATTTATTCTTTCCTGCCACTACCTCAAACATCACCTCTTCCAATGAAGTGGATTTGGTCCTCCCAGCTAGGAGTGAGGGTGTTCCTGTTTCCTTCTCATCTACTGACTTTTTTTTTCTTTTGAGACAAAGTCTCACTCTTGCTTGGGCTAGAGTGCCGTGGCATCAGCCTAGCTCACAGCAACCTCAAACTCCCAGGCTCAAGCGATCCTCCTGCCTCAGCCTCCCAAGTAGCTGGGACTATAGGCATGTACCACCGTGCCCAGCTAATTTTTTCTATATATGTTTTTAGTGGGCCAATTAATTTCTTTCTATTTTTAGTAGAGACAGGGTCTCACTCTTACTCAGGCTGGTTTCGAACTCTTGACCTTGATCGATCCTCCTGCCTTGGCTTCCCAGAGTGCTAGGATTACAGGATACTGACACTCTTTTTTAGTAGCACTTAACTCAGTCTAGTCATCTATGGACCTGCCTTCCTCCACTGTTTACTCTACAGGGGCAAGGACTGCCACAAGCAATTTTTGTCCCCCAGAAGCATTCAACAAACAGTTGCCCTGCGTAGCCCTAAGGGTGAACAGGGGGAGGCCTATTCTGTGGGGCTAGGAAGGCAGCCTGGCATTTTTGCCTTCTCATTGGATAACCCGGAGCTGTTAAAGCCTCCAGTCAGGACCCGCTACATAATTGAGTGGATCCAGTGCAAAATGCAAGGGTACCTTGTTCAGAAATTATTCAGAATTTCAAGATGGTGGCAACAGAACATTAACCCAAGTGCAGGGCCCTTCTAAGTGCACGGCCCTGTGCAACTGCATGGATTGTGTGTGCCCTGTCTAGGATGAAAGGTGCTGGCACCAAAGTGTTCCACAGAAAGACAAATAATTCTGACTTCACCTTATTAAGAAACTTTTTCTTTTTATCAGCTCAGAAACCCTTGACTGGCTGGGATTAGTGGCCAGGGAGAAAAGGGGAGAGATGTAGAGCTTCTGGGAAGCCCCATTCCAGCAAGTCTTACATCTTTTGCTTGGGCTGGCAACCTGAGAACAGCCAGGGGAAAAGTGGCCTCAGGTTGGTCTGTTTTGAGCCTTGTGAATGGCATCAGGATAGGGCCAGGGAAGTGGAAGTTGAGACGACAATCAAGCCTTTACTCGTCTGCCTGTGGTAACCAGGCCTGCTTCTTCTGCCATCCAGGAGGGCCTTGACTGACTACAAAGAACACTGTACCAGGACCCTTGAGAGCCAGGCCCAGATGGGGATGAAGACGTTGTGTACATGTGTGTGTTTTGCGGCTGGACACAGATGGCTTGAGTCTAACGTTTCCATTCAATACCTTGGATGATTAAGCTCTTCTGCCTAAGGGATACTGTGTGCTTCACGCATCCCCAACTCCCCTGACCTCCTTGAGGCCAGAAATCTATCCCATTGGGAGCCCATAAGGCAAAGCTGGGTCAACATGCTGAAGTAGGAGCTTGTCTTCTGACCTCACTTCTTCCTCCCCTGCCCACACTTCTCCAAAGCTCTCACCAGGGATCCAACTCAGGGAGAGCAAATGAGACAAAAATCTTGGATCCCATTCCTGGAGAGGGCAGAGAGGGAACTGGCAGCTAAGGTAAGATGTGATGCCTAGGGTCTAGTGAGGCCCTGTGCTGGGCAGAGTCAGTGGAGCCACTGTCCCAGAGAAGGCCATCTCAGGATCTGGGCTCCTCCAGAATATTAACCACTTCGGTACGGCGCTCACCAACCGCGAAACCTCGCCCACGGCCGGCACTCACAGTCCGCGTGATAGTGTGTGCTGTGCATCGACAACGAATCTGTTTTGCACTTGTGTGATGAGGAAAGTTTTAAAGCACTGAAAGCTTGTTTTACTTTACAGGCAGCTTTACTTGTAATGTAAATCAGAATAGGTAACATATACATATATGTTTTCATTGCGTTATTTTTAAATGTTCACAATTTTATTTTGATAAATGAAAAATTAGAAAAGTTGTATCATGGCTGTCGGCTAAAGTCGAGGCTCAGCTGTGCGCCTTCATATCACGGCTGTCAGCTAAAGTCGACGCTGGGCTGTGTGCGTTCATCTGTGGCTATCGACTATAGTCGACCTTCGTACCGAAGTGGTTAAAGTCAATTAATTGGCAAGGAGGGCGGGGCCTATGATACACCATTCACCCCAAAATATTCTTCAAAGGCTCTGCCACGTATTCAGTATAACTGGAGCTTTCTTAATGAGAGCTGTTCAGGAGAATTATCTCCCCCACCTACCCTGCCCATTCTCCCTCTGAATCAGGCTCCTCATCCTGGCATTGAGCATGGCAATTTATTTTATTAATGAATGTGAGGCAGGGCAGGGAGGTGCATGATGCCTGCATGTGGATAGGAGAAAGACCTTCAGGCTGGGTACTCTTGCCTCACCTCTGCCTTCGTCTGAAACATGACTCTTCCCTGGGGGAGTGTTCTGGATGGTGGTGCCATGCGAGGGACCCAGAGAAGAGCCACAAGTAGGGCAACAGGGTGAGTCCTGGGGCAGCACCCATCAATATGCTGAAATCTCAGTCAAGTAGCACTGGAGGCCAACTGTGTGGGCACAGAGGCAAGGCTGTTAGCCTCAGTGCTGCTGGTGGGAGATATGTGTAGGACCAGGACATCTAGATGAGGAAATGAAATTTTCAGTTGATTCTGTGAACACCGGAGACACTGTGGGAAGAGACAAATCATTTCCTGCGAGTAAGAGGTAGTAAGGAAAAAAATGGCAGAGATACAGCCTGGTTCTGAAGGGGAAAAAGAAAAAGAACTTTCTTAGATTTTCCTTTAAAATGGCCTCTGGAATATTTAAGTCAATTAACTCATCATCAACATTGCTATCTAGTGGATCAAAAGGTGCTTTGGTGATTCACATCGGCAGTCACCAGAAGCTCATTTTACCTACACAACATTCATCTTCTTGCAGGCTTCCTGCCCCAAACATTTGATAGGGACCATTTAAGAGCTGCCAATATGGCTGGCTGGAGATTATATATGATAGTGGTTAAAGAGCTGTGCACCCTCGGACAAGTTACTTAACTTCCCTAAGTGTGGTTTTCCCATTTGAAAAAAGAGAATAATAATGCCTCGAGGGCTGAGATAATATATGCAAAGCTTTTAGTACACCAGAAGCAAGTTTGTTTTGGTCCAGTCCATGCTGGGCTCATCACCATCATCAGTACAATATCACCATCATCACCATCATCACCATCACTGCAGCTACCATTTATTCCGTAAGATACCAGGTACTCCACTTTACCAAGCCACTGAATCACCATTAAAACCCTACAACATGGGTTATTTATCCCATAGAATTCAACTGGTATACAGACCTGCACCCTGGGCTCTGTGACCAGCCCACTGTGAAAGTGGCTCCAGAGGCAGGATGGATTATAGTGACATGCAGAAAAATGGAGGAATTTGTCAGGACTCCATTTCTCACGTGGGTCAGGACAAGGCTTTTTGTCCAGGGTCCATGACTTGTGTGAGGCTGAGCAAGTTATTTAATGTCCTCAAAACCTTGATTTTCTTCACCTGCAAGCTGGGGATCAGGTAACAACACCTGCCTTGCAACTTCACAGCAGCAACATGAGGATTCGTGAGATACGGTCTGGACACCTGACATGTGGAAGGTGTTAATGCTATGACACTGACCAAGGAAAGCCCTGATCCACAACTGGGACTTCCGCCTGCTGCTTCTTCTCTCCTTCAACCATTATTTATGATGTGGAAGCCCTCTTCCCATACCAAGCTGTGCTCCATTTGTGAATCAATGCATTGGTAGATGGGCATTCTGTTGTATGTAATTAGTCTTCTGTGAGTTTATTTTCTTATATGTAGTCCTTATGGTCTGATTAGTTTGGAGAGAATTTTCAGAAACCATTATTTGGCCTAAAAGCAGAAGGCCAGCTCAGAGATCTGGTGACCCCACATGGTATTCTAGGAGGCCTGCTTCATCTTTGCCGTCTCTGCTACCTGCAGAAATGCCTTAGTTCAAGAGCCATTAATTGTACTCTCAGCTCTAACTAAAGACTAATATGAAAAATGCCACTTGAAAGACAGATAGGGTGGCTTCAAAACCTTGGTGCTTGGGAATCAGAAGCAACTGACCAGAATCCTTATTCTGCCAGGAGAAAAACTGTGGGCCTTCTGAATGTTGAGCCTATGTAGTTTGAGCCTCAGTTTTTTTCTTTTCTAAAGTACACAATCATGATTGGAATTAAATTAGATAAAATATTTATCTAGAAGAGTGCTGGCACCTATACAGTAGGCTAGAAAAAAGGGTAACTAAGGCCGAGTGTGGTGGCTCATGTCTGTAATCTTAGCATCTTGGAAGGCCAAGATGGGAGGATCAAGGCAGCCAGGAGTTTGAGATCAGCCTGAGCAACACAGCAAGACCCTGTCTCTACAGAAAATTAAAAGAGTCTGCCTTAGTGGCAGGGGTGAGGGAGACAATTCAAATCTATAACCTTCTTCTGTAGGCAGCCAAGCAGCGCAGCTCCCTCTAGCCATGCAACACCATGCTGCAGAGTTCTCTGAAGTTTTTACACACGACTTTCCTTCAGAAGCACTAAAGTTCTGACGGAGGGCTTCTGACTATGTCCTTGGTCCTGTCACACGGTGGAATCCAAGCTGCTCAAAGGTCTTTGGTTCCACATCGTCTCAGGCTCCACTGTCCTATTGTTCAATCCCCTCAGTACACCCCATTACGGGGTCAGCCTTTGAGGCAAGGGACTTAAGCCAGGCTGGCGCAGCTTGAAGGGTGTGAAAATCAACCCCTCATGGTTGGCATGGTTCTGTTTCTGGGACCTGCAGATTGGGCTCCCTCAATTTTAGCCACAAGTGGAAGACAAGGCAAAGTGCCCCTTGTGGTGGGGACAGACTAGTTGCATCAGAAATAGACATAGCATGGGGGTTACATTTTGATTGAGTTGAGTCTTTTTTTTTTTTTTTTTTTTTTTGAGACGGTGTCTCGCTTTGTTGCACAGGCTAGAGTGAGTGCCATGGCGTCAGCCTAGCTCACAGCAACCTCTAACTCCTGGGCTTAAGTGATCCTTCTGGCTCAGCCTCCCAAGTAGCTGGGACAACAGGTGATGATCTGCCCACCTCAGCCTCCCAGAGTACTAGGATTACAGGCGTGAGCCACCACGCCTGGCCTGAGTTGAGTCTTAATTGTCCACTTACCTATATGTCTCTATCAGTCCATCCATCCTCCTACCTACCCAGCATTCCAGAAAAATACAGAGAACACCTGCCAATGCACTCACTACATTAAGGAAATGTGGGAATCTTACCTAGTTCCTCTCACATCTTTTGTGGCCAGAGATCAGGCAGTGACTGCATGCTTCCTGATCCTGTGTCCTCAGGTCCCTCACTGCACCTGTGTGGCTTCTGCTGGGCCTCGGATCCAGGCGGGCTGGAGTGGCCACCAGCAGGTCATTCAGAGAAACACTGTACCTTTGAGGACTCTGCAAAAGGAGGAGGGAGGGCACATCCAGCTGCCTCTTCTCACCAGAGCTGCTGCTGCGGAAGTAACACTCCATGGGCAGGGAGGGTTTTTCTGCAAAGGCAAAGGCATTGACATCATCTATTTGTGCTGCTGGATTCTGCAGGAATTCCTGGTAAAGGCCACCTCCCACTAGGATCCCATGGCCTGGGAGTGGCTGAAGCTCTCTGAACTAGTACGGAGTCAGCCATTGCTCCTTTCCTCCAAATAGCTCTCCTGCCCCAGCTTTTGTACTGAACGTCCGTTCCTGGGACAGATGCAGCTGCATGGGCCTCACCTGAAGGAGAACCAGGAAACGTTGAAGAGTGAAAGTGGACTCAGACATAGCATTCTATTTTATTTTATTTTTTGGTCTTCCCAATCAGACTAGAGACTCCCTAAAGCATGGACTATGTCTCCACTATCAGACTGGGGTCTCCTTGAGGGTAGAAGCTGTGTCCCTGCCCCCAGACTGGGGTCTCCTCACAGATCAGGACGGGTTCTGTTGGTCCGCCTCACCCCTGAGCTCCTGGCACATCCCTGTGCACATGAGCACTCACGTGACTGGCTACTGGCCACCGGCTTTGTGTTGTAGTGAGCTGGGAACAAGGACAGCTGCCTCCTCAGGTGAACCTTGGTGAATAGTTCTGACATCAGCTGCTGCTTCTTCATGTCATTCCTTAGTGACTCCCAGCTTGGGTTCATACGAACTGGGAAGCTAAGGGATTTTGTAGACAGAGAAGTTTTCGATACTTTCTCCGGGATGCGCTGCTGGGAGATCTGCCACTGGCTGTGTCTAAAGGAGACCATCCTGTAGATCTCTGGGCTGCTGCACTCGGAGCTGGTGGACGTGGACCGGGTTGGCAGAGACTTTGGGGAGTTTGAGATCTTGGTGGTGGATTCTGGGGAGGTTTCTACTAAGAGTACAGGCTAGAAGAGAAGGTAGTCCAAAATGAGACTGTGGAAAGTAGAGGGCTCCTTCCTATGCTATTCTTGATTAAAACAAACAGATTAAGAGCTGGGTTTGTTAGCAGCAAGAAAGATTAGGTCAGAATAGTTTTCTAACCATCAATTGGTTAAACACTAGGGCAGAGGATGGTAGAGGAAGCTATAGCCTCCTCTAGAGGTCTTTAAACGTGGAGACGATTATAAGTATTAGAGACTGAAAATCAGAAAAATAAGTATCATTTTACAGCTGTAAGACTGGCAAAAATCAGAAGGCAGGATAATGCCAGTGTTGGTGGCCATGCAGAGGTACAGGAACTCTCTGCTGCTGAGAATGTAGATTGGTACAGCCATTCCGAACCATCTAGAAATACTTGGTAAAGTAAGATTACAAATACCCTGTGACCTAGCAAGTCTGTTGCTAGGCATATATACTAAATAAGTTATTAGATAGTGCCTTAAAAAATACATGTGCACTGATGTTCACAGCAGCATCATTCACAATAGCCAAAAGGCAAAAACAACCCAAATGTCTACCAACCTATGAATGAACAAAATATGATATATATACATACAATGGACTATTATTCAGTCTTAAAAAGGAAGAAAATTCTTATACATGCTACAACATGAATGAACCTTGAAAACATTATGCTAAGTGAAATAAACCGGACAAATATTATATGATTCCACTAATATGAAGTACCTACAGGAGTCCAATTCATAGAGATGGAAAGTAGAATAGAGGTTACCAGGGACTGAGGTGGGGTGGGGGAGAATGAAGAATTATGTTTAGTGGGTATAGAGTTTCTGTTTCAAGTGATGAAAAGTTCTGGAAACTGATAGTGGTGATAATTGCATATATTTGTGACTGCTCTTAATGCCATTGAATTGTACACTTAAAAATGGTTAAAATGGTAAATTTTGTTATGTATATTTTATCATAATTTTAAAAACATATAGAGGGATGTTCACTGAGGTGTTATTTGTAGTGTGGGAGAACTGAAGGCAATCTGCATGTCTATATCTTGAAGAATTGATAGGGTGAAATGAATGGTTGAAACCTATTCTTTTTTTTTTTTCCAGTATAATAAGGTATCAAGCAAGAAACCTATTCTTGGAAAAAACGGAACTTCACTTAATGAGATTTGCAGCTTTGCAGCTTTTTCTCCAAGTACACCCATAATCCACATAACACAGGCAGCAGGAGATGTCAAAAGATAAGAGTTTGAAGCTGTGAGAGAAGCCAGAGAGACAGGGTGTAAATTGTGGAAGGGGAAATCCTTTCATTGCAGTTTGGCTGACTGATAAACTACACTTGCTGGGGTGAGGTAGTGTGAGTGGCGGGGAGGGACAAGAGGATCCCAGGCCACCCAATAAAAAAACATTACTGAAGGTTAAAATAACTAAAATTTCAATTGCTGCTGACCACAACAGATTCAGAATTTGAAGTTAACAGATTGCCCAAATAAAAATATCTCGTTAGTGGACTTTAAAGCAGGCGTTATAAATATGGATCAAAGAATTAAAGGAAAATATGCATAGAAATAAAAAGTTGGGAATCTAAGCAGAGATACAAACTATAAAAAAGAACTAAGTAAAACTTCTTTAGGACTCAAAGATACAATAATTGAAATTTAAAAATTCACTGGATGGGCTTTAGAGCAGATAGATGAGTCAGTGAGTTTGAAAATAGAGTAATAGAAATTATCCAATCTAAAAACAGAAGAGAAACAAGATTGAAGCAAAAAAGTAGAACCTAAGAAGTCTATGAAACATTATGTGATTTAACATACATGTTTTTGAAGGTCCAAAAGGAGAAGAGAAACAAAATAAGGTTGAAAAAAATTAAATAATGGCCATAAACATCTCAAATTTGGTGAAAGACATCAACTTTCAAAAACAACAAGCTCAAGAACCCTAAATGGCCAAGTGAGATGGTTCATGCCTATAATCTTAGTACTCTGGGAGGCTGAGATGGGGGGATTGCTTGAGCTCAGGAGTTCGAGACCAGCCTGAGCAAGAGTGAGACCCCATCTCTACCAAAAATAGAAAAATTAGCTGGGATGGGTGCTGTTTGCCTATAGTCCAAGATGCTCAGGAGGCTGAGGCAGGAGGATCACTTGAACCTAGGAGTTTGAGGTTGCTGTGAGCTATGATGATGCCACAGCACTCTACCCAGGGCAACAGAGTGAAACTCTGTCAAAATAAATAAATAAAAGGAAGGAAGGAAGGAAGGAAGGAAGGAAGGAAGGAAGGAAGGAAGGAAGGAAGGAAAGAAGGAAGGAAGGAAGGAAGATAAAACTATCTTCATTTGAAGACAACATTTGACAAAAATCCTAAAAAATCAATAACCATAAAAAAACCTTACTAGAATTTATAAGAAAGTTAAGCCTCAAAATGCGAGATAATGTACACAAAATTATTGTTGTTTTGGGGGGAAATGGGCATTTATTGAAACCTTAAAATCTGTACCCCCATAATATGCCAAAATAAAAAAAAAATTAAAAAAAAAATTATTGTTGTTTCTATATACTAGGAACAAACAACTGGAAATTGAAATTTAAATAAATAGTTCCATTTATAATATTGTCAAAAAACCAACACCTAGGAATAAATTTAACATGTAATATGCAAAATCTCTGCACTAAAAACCATAAAACTTTGTTGAGGGAAATTAGAGAATATCTAAATAAATGGAAAGATTAACCATATTCAAAGATTGGAAAATTCACTATTATTAAAGGCATTAATTTCTCTCAAAATTTTTTACAGATTCAACACAATACCAATTATAAGTCCAGCATGCTTTTTTGTAGAAATTGACAATTCTAAAATTTTTTCTTCTATATATACCTTTAATCTTACTATCAGATAGTTCTGTAGATCTTCATTTCTTCATGAACATCCAAGTTTCAAATGTTAATAGGTATTATATTCCATATGGTCAAGGAATTACCTATATTATTTTCTGCAGTAGAACTATGGTGGCAATACATTTGCTCAGTGTTTGTTTGTCTGAACAGTCTTTGTTTCTCCTTATTTTGGAAAGATATTTTGGTGGACATAGAATTCTGGGTTGGCAGGCTTTTTCCATCCAGAAACATAAAGATTTCATCCCATTGTTTTTTGGCTTGCATACATTCTGATGAGAAATCTGTTGTATTTTTATCTTTTTGTGTATGTAATGTGATTTTTTTTCTCTTGCTCCCTTTACAATTCTCGTCTCCCCCACTTTTTTTATGGTATTCAGCTGTTGGAAAATCATGTGCTTAGGTGTGCTGCCTCATCTTGAATTCTAAAATTTTAGTGGAAATACACAGGGCCTAAAGAACAAAAATGGTCTTCACAAAGAAGAACAAAATTGTAGGACTTGTACTATCTGATTTCAAGATTTTTTATATAACCACAGTAATCAAAACAATGTGGTATTGGCACAAAAATAGACCCCAAAAAATCAAAGAAGCAAAATAAAGTACAGAAATAGATCCACATTTATATGGTACATTTTCGACCAAGTTATTGAAGCAATTCAATGAGTAAGGAAAGTGTTTACAATTGTGTTGAAACAACTGTATATACATGTGGGAAAAACAAATCTTGGATCCTATCACCTAGAATACTCAAAAATTAATTTGAAATGGATCATGAACCTGAACACAAAGCAAAGGCTATAAAGCTTTTAGAGAAAGCATACGAAAATATCTTTCTGACCTGAGGTACATGAAAATTTCTTAGATGAGACCTAGAAAGCAATAATCAAAAATGAAAATTTGGCAGGGCGCAGTGGCTCACGCCTGTAATCCTAGCGCTCTGGGAGGCCAAGGCAGGCGATCCCTCAAGGTCAGGAGTTCTAAACCAGCCTGAGCAAGAGTGAGACCCAGTCTCTACTAAAAATAGAAAGAAATTAATTGGCCAACTAAAAATATATAGAAAAAAAATTAGCCGGGCATGGTGACACATGCCTGTAGTCCCAGCTACCCGGGAGGCTGAGGCAGTAGGATCGCTTGAGCCCAGGAGTTTGAGGTTGCTGTGAGCTAGGCTGAGACCATGGGACTCTAGCTGGGGCAACAGAGTGAGATTCTGCCTCAAAAAGAAAAAAAATGAAAATTTGATAAACTTCAAATTAAAAATTTTCACTAATCAAAAGACACTATTAAGAAAAAGTATAGGTAAGTTTCCAGGATATATAAAGAATTTCTACAACTCAATAATAAAAAGGCAAACAATTCTATTAAAAAAAGAGGGTAAGCAAAAACTCGAACAGATTCTCACAAAGAAAGGTGCATGAATGACCAGTAGGCATCGATGAAAAACAAATTTAAACTACAATGAAATATCACAACATAGGCATTAAAGTGGCTAAAATTTAAAAGACAGATAACACCAAATGTTGACAAAGATATGGAGCAACTGGAACTCTCACACATTGCTAGTTGAAATGTACACTACTACAATCACTTTGGATAAAGATTTTAGAGTTTCTTATAAAGTTACACATAGATTTGCCCTTTGAACCAGCAATCCTTCTCCTACGTAGTTATCCAAGAGAAATGAAAATACATACCCACTAAAAGATTTGTACAAGGATGTTCATAGGATCTTTAATGACAACAGCAAAAACCAAACCAAAACAAAAAACTGGGAACAACCCTAAAGTCTATCAACAGGAGAATGGATAAACAAACTGCAGTGTATTTGTACAATGGAATATAACTCAGCAATAAAAAAGAACAAACTACTGTTACACACAACAATATAAATGAATCTCAGAGATATAATACTGAGCTAAACAAGCTAGACTCAAAACACATATATGACTATTTTACTCCATTTACATAAAATTCTAGAGTAGGCAAAATTAATGAAGGTGAAAAAAAAGGCAGAGAAGTTGGAATCAGCATAGTGGATACCTTGGGGAGGGATGGGGAGTAGACTGCCTGGGAAGGGACAGGTGGGAACGTTTTGGAGATACCAAAATGTTCTATATTATGGTAGACATGTGGGTCAAAATTGTACAGTTAAGATTTGAGCATTCCAATGTAAATTTTTTTAGAGGCAGGTCTGAATGTTTATGATCCCCCAAAATTCTTATGTTGAAGTCATAATCCCCAAGGTGATGGTAGTAAGAGTTGGGGCCTTTGGGAGATGAATAGGGGATGAAGGCGGAGCCCTCATGAAGGGGATTAGTGCCCTTAAAACAGGAGCTTAAGAGAGCTAGCTAGCTCCTTGCACCATGTGAAGACAACAGTGAGAAGCTGCCATTTATGAGGAATGGGCCCTTGTCAGACACCAGATCTGCCAGTGCCTTCATCTTGTACTTCCCAGCCTCTAGAACTGTGAGAACTAAAGTTCAGTTGTTTATTAGCTACCCAGCCTAAGGTATTTTGTTATAGCCACCTGAACAGACTAAGACAAACTCCTTTTCAGATACATGATTTGCTAATGTTTTCTCCCATTGCATAGGTTGCCTTTTCACCCTGTTGATTGTTGCCTTTGCTGCATGGAAGTTTTACGTGTGATGTAGTCCCATCTATTTTTGCTTTTCTTGCCTGTGGTTTTGGTGTCATACCCAAAAAAATCATTGACAAATACAATGTCATGAAGCTCCAAAGCATACTCTGTTAAAAGTACTTTTCAAACTATGGATCATAACCCTATTAGTAGGTCATGAAATTAATCTAGTGGGTTGTAACTGGTAATTTTTAAAGAATACAATAGGAAAGAATGCACAGAATAGAAAATATTAAATGAGTTATGGAATGTAGTATGGCTAAGCTTTGCTTCAGAAACTTTTTTCCAGTTGTGTATATGGTGGAATGTAAAATAAAATGGATATCTTACTTTGGCCAGGGTTAAAATTTTTGAAACACATAGCACTATTCTCTGCTGCACTTGGACCCAGCAAAAGCCCAGCAACATTGAAGATTTCCCAGTAGTTACAGTGGGGTCAGCACGTGGCCCTCAGTGAGCCTCAGTGTGAGGAGCACAAAGGGACCACACTCATGTGGCAACTCAGTTTTTACAAAGAAAATCAACTGTCACCTAGATTAATATTTTTTATTTGAATTTTACTGGTGCTGTCTGTTTTGTTTTGGTTCTGTAGTTAAATAAGAGCTCTAAGTATAAATATTTTATATCTGATTCTATGCTTATATATATTTATAAAAATAATTTAGGTCTACAATGGGGGTCTGAGAGTTTTCCTTCCTTCAAAAGGTGTCTATACATCAATGGAGTTTGAAAAACACTGTTTAAGTGATGTACTGAGTTCAAAGGTGCACCCCAAAATTCGTGTCTACAGGCACCTCTCAGAATGTGACCTTATTTGGAAAGGGGGTCTTTGCAGGTATAATTAGTCAAGTTAAGATGAGGTCATACCAGATTAGAGCGGTCTCTAAATCCAATGACCGGTGTCCTTATAAGAAAGTCATGTAAAGATACCCAGAGGAGAAACACAGGGAAGAAGGTCATGTGACAGCAGAGGCAGAGGTTGGAATTATGCTGCCACAAACCAAGCAATGCCAAGGATTGCCAGCAACCACCAGAATCTATCAGGAACAACGAAGGATCCTCCCTAGCCTTCAGATGGAGCATGGCCCCAGACACCTTGATGCCAAACTTCTAGCCTCTAGAGCTGTGAGAGAATAAATTGTGTCGTTGTACACCGCCAGGTTTGCCACAGCAGCCCTAGGAAAGGGCAACCTGCCTTAGAAGAGGGGGTGCATTAGAGCGCCTTTCTAAAAGCCATCCCAGGCCTATCCTCCCAGCAGGCACGCCGCTGCACACATGGGCTTTGCAAGTTGAAAAACGGAGACCCTGGAAGGCCCACGGGCTTACGCAAGGGGCCAGCAAGTCAGGGGTATAAAAGGGACCAGAAAGCAAGACTCCCAGCCCTCCCTCACGCCCTCCCAGATCTCGGCCCTATGCTTACCTGAGTGCCAGTGCCTATGTTCACTGCCATGGCAGACTTGGCCTCCTTGATTTTGGGCTTGGATTTACCGAGCCCCAGCCCAGAGCAGCTGAGTCTTGAATTCCTGAGGTCGGGTACAGAGCTGTACTGCCTTGCAGATGTAGGCTTTGGGGGAAGAGCACCAGCCTCCTTCTTGGGGGCCTCCTGGTCTAGGTTGCTGTCTGTTTCGTTTTTCTTTTCATCTCTGACACTCAAGAGCAAGTCAGGTGTGCCGGACACTAATGGCTGGGCATACTGGGAAGGAGAGCAAACATACGGCCCGTGGAAACCCAGCTCTGTCCACGTCCAAGTTCATCTGCACCCAGAGATAGGTGCAAAGGAGATGAGGAGAAGGAAAGCAGTTGATATCAAAGTCTCTCTAAGCTGGAGCTTTTAACTAGGGGAGCTGGGACCCTTAGAGGGCTCATGGATAGCTTCAGGGGATCTTTGAGCCACTTGAAAAGGCAGTCTTAAAATTGTGCATTGTGTGCTTTATGGCAGGAGATTCCATAGCTTTTATCAGATTCTCAAAGGGTCTATGACTCTAAGAAAGTTAAAAAGAAAAACAACAAAGAACTCCTGCTCTGATCCTGTCCTTTCAGGTGAGCCTTTGAGATAAAGGAGATGGACTGAAAAGTTAACTGAATATTTCCACCGAGCTAGACGAGAGCACTGGGCAGAGCAGGGGAAGTCAAAGACTTAGATCAGAGGCCGACCAGAGAGCTGGCCCACAGCCTGGGGCTGTCCCGCATTTTGCACAGAGATCAGGCTGGAAGGACCCGCCATGGTCGCCATCCCATGTTGTGATGTTCTCAGAGTCCCGCCACCCAGGAAGCTCTTCCCAGCAGCCTGCTCCCCCGGCGTGCCCCTGGCCTGCTGGAGGGGAGCGTTGCAACCCAGGCAGGAATGGAGGACCATGTGCAAGCAGTCCTGGAGCCCGCTCCCTTAATGGGGCTCCTGCCCAGCCTCCCAGAGTGTCCTGCCTGGCTGCTTTTATTCCTACTGGAGGAGGAAAGAAGGACAGAGCAGCGAGAGTCCCCTGTTGTCTGGATGGAGGGATCCTCTAAAGACAGTGGCCCGTGTGCCTTCAGGGCTCCCCTCCTGCTCCCCACCCCTGCACGCAGCCCTTCAGTGTGTCTGGGCTTTGAGCAGTGGTCTCAGCACCCCACCTCGGATCGGGCCCAGCTGGGGAAGAGTGCTGGGCATGCGTGCTCCCCTCCCATCCGGGATTACTTGTTTGGAGGTGGTGTGGGTGGCAGCCTCTTGTTTCTGTTGCTTCTGTCGCCAGGTCTTTGCACCGTTGCCTCTGGCCTGCTCGCCTGCCGATTCCCCTGGCATCTCTACCTTCCTCTGTTTGGTCTGGAAGGGTTTTTTCTCCTGTTTTAGTCTCAGCTTCTGGATCAGTTGCCTGCCCATTGAGGAACAAGTGAGTGTCACCAGGCCAGGGACGGGCTGAGTGGCAGGCATTCTCCCTGAGGGATGGGCCAGCCTGGATGAGGCGGCGGAGTGCACCACGGTCCCTCCCCCAGCACATCCAGTCTGCACAAGTGACTCAAGGTCAAAGAGCAGGGTGTGGAGGGAAGAGTTGTCGCTCCAACCAGACCGTCCCCAGTCTGGGCAACAGCATCCAAGGAGAGATGCACAGGAAGGGGCCACCCCCACCCCGCCACACCCCATCTCCTCCCACCTCCCAGCAGGCCGGTTCCCCACCACGGCAGGTGCTGGGAAGAGCGTCTGCACAGGAGGCTGCAGCCAGGGCCTCCCATGTTGGGCCACTTCACATGCTGGGCCTCTCTGGCCAATGGGTCCCGAGAGTGGATAAAGGCGACACGATATGGTGGAAATAATTTGACTCAGGAGGCAGGGTGGTTCTGGTCGCTCTTCTGCCATCATCTGTCTATGTGATCCCCTCTCTGCTCTGCCCTCCCCTTCCATAAAATGAGGTGGGGAGTAGCGGCTGGACGCCATGGGATGAGTCCGTCCAGCTCCTAGATTCTGTGCCTGGGTGAGTCCACGGGGCAGCTCTGAGGGGGTGGATACCCTGGAGTGGGGGCGGGGTGTCTGTCTCAGGGACACTTTCTAGAAACAGCCACCCTTCTACACCTCGCACTAGGGAATTTTCCTATTCCTGGTCCTTGTGAGACCAGAGTAAATGTTGCCCAGGCAGCTTCAAGGTTGGGGACCGTGGCTCTGAAACTCTCCCTGCCACCCCAGGCCAATAAGCTAGCAGGTCAGGCACAAGCCCCAGGACACCTCGCCCGAGAGCCTTCCTACCGGGCATACACCTCCCGAGCCCTGGACGAGATAGTATTCTGGAAGCGGGAGCTGTTGTCCTGGAAAAACTTCTCATACTTCTCCAAGTTCAGACAGGGATAAATCAGCCGGAACCCTCCACAGTTTTCCTTCTCGTACTTCTCAGTCTTCTGTAACCACGAAGCCTGGAAACCCTTAGCTTCCTCAGTCCTGTTGGGAAGCAGAACATAGGGCCACAGTTCAGTTTTCTTGGGACAAAGCCTGGAAGGGACATGTCCCCCAAGCTGGACGTCATCTAGGGCCAGATGGAGGCCTTGCACATAATAGCGGTCAGTCAGTACCCGCCACACAAATGCGTGAATGTTTCCCTCTCACCCTCCCACAACAGCCAATGTCACAATGCACTGAGAGCTGGTTAGGACAGTCTTTCTGACATCTCACCAAAGTCTCTCCTGCTACAAATAAAACCTGCTTCCCCCTCAGCTCAGTGCTGCCCAGGCAGGCTGTCCCCAACTTCCCATCCACAGCCCTGGTCCCCCTCTCTGGAGAATGGCAGCTTGTGTTTTGCTATATTTGAGGGCTTCTTGGATGGGCTTGGTGAGCCTTTACCAGCTGTCATGATCTCATTCTTCCTCACAGCCCCCCAGGGAGGTGAAGGTCAGGCTGGGAGGAATCACTGGCCTCCTTTTACAGCAGGGAAACCAAGAGCCACTGAGACATCCGGGGCCCAGTAATGAGCAGACTGCTTCAGAGGAGGCCCTTACCCTGATGGCTGCTCCTTAATACGATGCTGCCTCCTGCCCAAGGAGCTTAGGGATGACATGGCACAGTGGAAGGGATCCTGGAATCCCTGGCTGCAAAACCCTTGGGCTCTGGATCCAGATCTGTCAAGCACAGGACCACACAACACCCCATCCTACCTACCTCCCCACTCCTTACAGGGAAGACAGTGCAGGTGACAGTGCCTGAGAAACACAGTGTCATCCAAACATAAACACAATGTATGGCCTCAGTTCCAGAAACTAGGTCCTGAAGGGTGAGGCTGGCTCTGCTCTGGAGAGGGTGCCTAGAGGAGGGTGGGGGCTGTAGTGGGATCATAAAAGCAACAAAGGCATATCTTTGACCAGGCTCAGAGTCTCTGACACTAGGATCACCATGCAGAGTGAAGGCTCCAATTATAAGGTAAATGATGCTGAGCAGGAAGCAGGAGGATGTTAGCTCCTGCCAGCACCAGAGCATGCGGGAGCCAACAAATCTTTCTCTGCAATAAAAATAAAGGAATTAGATAGATAATTCCTTTTTTGTTGGTTTTTGGAGACAGGGTCTTGCTCTGTTGCCCAGGCTGGAGCACAGTGGTGCCATCATAGCTCACTGCAGCTTCCAACTCCTGGGCTCAAGCTTCCTCCTGCCTCAGCCTCCCAAGTAGCTGGGACTACAGGTGCACATCACCATACCTGGCAATATATATATATATATATGTATATACATGTATGTACATGTATGTATATATATTATTTTAGAGATGGGGTCTCTCTGTGTTGCCCAGGCTGGTCTAGAACTCCTGAGCTCAAGCAATCCTCCCACCTGAGCTTCCCAAAGTGCTGGGATTACAGGCATAAGGCACCCACTGCACCTGGCCCTGGTAATTCTTAAATCTTCACATGATATTAATCAATTTCTATCCATTATATACAATCCTATGTCTGCAACTTAACCTCCTGTTCCTAGGAATAAAAGAATACTCATAGTAAAATTGTTCAAAGTACTACATTCTGCAAGTGTAAACCCATTTTCCAAATAGAATTATCATTTGTTAGAAATGATGCCCCCAACTCCAGGCAAGATTCTTAATAGCCTCTAATGTAAATTATCATGCCAGACACCATGCTAAAATTTTTCTATGCATTATCTCATTTAATTCCCCCAACAACTCTCTGGATCATTAGCTCCATTTCACAGAAAGATCACTAAGGCTCAGAGAAGTGACAGAAAGACCACATACCTGGTAGGCTGTTGAGTCATAATGTAGATTAGGACAGGCCAGTTTTGTTGGGAGTGAGTAGGGAAGTCAGAGAACCAGGCCCTCGGGATGCCACTGTACCTGATGTCCCAAGAACGATACTGCTGCAGGAACCGGCCTCGTTGTCTCTCCTTCTCCAAGACTTTCTTTTTGTTACAGCTTCTCAGGTTGATCAGGACAAAGGTGTCATACAGCAGGTTGTCCTTCACCTCTTTATCCAACCAGGAGTCAGTGGAGAAGCTTGGAGAGTGGTTGACCTGGGAGAGCAAAATGGGGACAAGGCTGACCAGAGTGAAAGCAGAGAGTGAGGCCAAGCTGCCACCTCCTGGCCTCTACCAAAGCCCACCTCGGGGCCCTGGCTGCCAAGATGAGTGGAAGGGAGAGGAGAGTGTCTGGACCAGAGGAAATGGAATTCCCTCTAGTTAAACTAGCTTTTATCTCGGCCCTTTCTTCTCTGGAAGCATCAGGGGTTGCCCTCTCTTTGGTGCGTGTGTTCCACTCCATCTGGAGTGCATGTGTTCTCTCACGCTCACTGAGCATTCCCCGGGGCAGGATGGAGAGGGCAGTCTGGAGGAGCAGGCTGGGAGGCAGGGAGTAGAGAGGATGGTGCATTCCCGTCATAATTTGGACCAGGACAGGCCAGTCTCACTGGGAGCAGGGAAGTCAGACAACCAGGCCCCTGGGGCCCAGGGGATGCAACTGCACCTGATCCCCCATGAGAATCAACACTGCTGTAGGAATACAGGAGCCTCTTGGGGTGCAGGGGAGACAGCTGGGAGAAGGACGAGGACTCATTCCTGCCCACAAAAAACGTGTATATTGTTCTGCAGCACTAGGTGACATTTGTAAATTTCTAGCAGTTCCTTTTTTATTTCATTTATTTATTTATTTATTTATTTATTTATTTATTTATTTATTTATATTTTGAGGCAGGATCTCACTCTGTTGCTTGGGCTAGAGTGCAGTGGCCTCATCATAGTTCACTGCAACCTTAAACTCCTGGGCCGAAGCAATCTTCCTGCCTCAGCCTCCCGAGTGGCTGGGACTACAGGCATGTGCCACCATGCCTGGCTAATTTTTAAATGTTTCAATTTTTTGTAGGGACAAGGTCTCCCTATACTGCCCAGCTAGTCTTGAACTCCTGACCTCAAACGATCCTCCTGTCTTGGCTTCCCAAAGTGCTGGGGTTACAGGTGTGAGCCACCGCACCCAACCGTTCTAGCGGTTTCTGGAGACTGGCTCTTAGTAGCTTATTCTGCTCTTTGGATGAGATCCTCAGACAGCCGTACCCACTTCCCACCACACCTGCGAACAAGGGCAGGGCAGAGCCCAGGAGTCTGCTCTGTAATTCTGAGTTCTCCACTCTGAAGTCTGACGGTGTTGTTGGCACCTGGCACTAGCACCCATGACTTCACCTCGCACACTTTGCTCATGGAGTGGCCCCTTGAGAGGGCTCCTGAGAGGACAAGTCGGATCAGAAAGGGCGGCAGCCACCCAGAAAGCTTCTTTTCCTCTTCCCACCACCCCGTGGGTCTGGGGGAGGCAGGAAACTCTCTGAGTGGCTCTCCCACCCATGTCTGCTGGCGCTCAGAACTGAGTAGTCCAGGCCCCTGCGAGCCGGGCATGGCAGGTCCCGTCTGACACTGAACACTGTTGACCCAGCTCTGACAAAGAACACCCTCTTTGGGGGAGACAGCTCTGTCACAAAAGGTAGAGCTGTCCTTAGAAACACTCTGTGCATGAGATCAGCGTTTCCAAGTCTGGGTGGACCTCAAAAAGGCGGAAGGAATTCTCTAATTCCCAGCCGTCTACCCCCCTCTGGTGGCCACTTCTCAACTGAGAGAGGAGCCCCAGGCGGCAGGCACCAGCGGAGGAAGTGGCTCCAGAAGTTGATTAAAACAATCCAGGTGAGCCTGGAGGGCGGCGTCCCTGAAGCAGGCTGACCCCAATCCCCCAGTCAGTTTCCCCCTCACCCAAATTCGCCTACCTCCAGCAGCCAGGGTTTCAGTTTGCGGTCCAGCAGAATGTCAAAGCCCAGGATTTCGAAGCAGGCGCTGTTGAGAGTGTGGTTGGGGAAGCAGGTGTGATAGTTGTGCTTGATGATGGGCTGGGCCGAGATGATCGTCTTGACGATGACGTCTTCAATGTCCCTCCATATCCGCTCCACGTCGTAGCTGTGCTTCTCCATGTACATATTGAACGTGGACAGCTTCCTGGAAGGGAACCGAGGGCCATGAGGCAGGACAGTGGCCTCTGGTCATCCAAGGCTGGAACCAGAATCTGCTGGAGAAGATAAGGCTCCAGAGCCAGTGACTGCCCACCGGCCAGGTGACACCAGCAGGAGAAGAGGCCTGCAAGAGTCACATCCTTCCCAAACCTCCAGAGACATGGCCTGCACACTTTCACTATGACCCAGAAAACACCTGTGGGCAGGGAGGGGCTTGGGTATCGCAAATGGAAGCTTAATGGATCAAACCAACCAACCCAGGGGTCCTCAAACTACGGCCCACGGGCCACATGTGGCCTGCTGAGGACATTTATCCAGCCCGCCGGGTGCTTTTGCCACCACTGCCTGTCCTGCTTAGCAGCCAACTCCTCCTGGGCCCACAGTGCACATGTGTGGAATGTGCGCCACGCTCTCCAACGGTCTGAGGGACAGTGAACTGGCCCCCTGTTTAAAAAGTTTGAGGACCCCTGATCCTAGATCATGGCTTTGCTTTGGTGGCAATGGTCTCTCAGCCTTTAGTATATATTAGAAGCACCTGGAGAGCCTTTTGGGAATACTGACACCCGGGTTCCCCCTCAGCCATCTGGTGGGATTCTGGGGACACCAAAAACACGGAAATCTTGTTTGGGGGCAACTTACGGGGAAAAGGCAGCCCCAAGGCATTTCCACAGATAGGGTTACCAACTGTCCCAAGGACACTGGACTATCCCATTTTTAGAACTGAAAGTCCCACGTTCCAGGAAACCCCTCAGTTGCAAGCATAAGGAAAGTCACTCTATCACGGAGGAAATCAGAGGATATCTGCCCCACATGGAGGGGTTCGTGAGGAATATCTGAGTGGATGCTCCAGTCAGCTCTGAGCTGGGCAGTACAGAGAGAGGATAATCTGACAGATCCCAGAGGCAATGATGGGGACGGACACTTGTCTGCCTCCATGCACACGCATGTGCGCAGAGAGCTGACGTGGAAGTGGAAATACAGAAGGAGGAGATGCAGGAGAGTGAGGAGCAGAGGGGAGGGTGAAGAAGACAAGAGACATGGTTCATCCAGCCAAAGGGGTCAAAGAGGAGGAAGCAGGGCCGGCCAGTCAATGTGCCTTTGCTGGGGGCCTGCTGTGCATGCAAAGCTTCATGCAAGGAGGGGACACCTAGGAACTGACACCTTTCTCATGAGAAGCCTAAGGACTACTTGGAGAGTCAACACACATATGAAATAATTAAGGGTACATTTATATAAAGACAGATAAGCAAAGGCCACTCAATATAGAGGCCACCTCCTCTACCTACCATTGTCAGGGAAAGGAGTGTTGTACATAAATGGATTTTCTAGATCATTTGAAGGCAATCCTTTCAAGTAGGAAAAATATATATTTAATTTTCCTTATTGAGAAATAAATTTTCCTTAAATAGATTATATACTTCCCTGACTTCTTATAACAGACGTTATAAAACAAAACATAACCTTTTCTTGATGACTCAGGGCCTATCACAATGAATATATTTATATGTTATTGCACAATTTCATAACCCCCAGTGGTTAGTCAATTCAATTCAACATCAGCCATGTGCTGGGAATGCTAAGACATGGAGATGGCCTGGTGTCTGCCCCAGGGTCCTGCTGAGTTTTCAGTCTTTCTCTCTTCCCTTTCACCATGACCGGAGCCCTACTCCTATTGAGTGTGCACCCCAGTGGGGCATTGACTGGGAGGGCAGTTGGCCTACACCACCAAGTTTGGGGCAGGTGAGACAGTCAGGATGAGAAGCAGATTGTCTCAAAAGATGGGGAGGGAGAAAGGAAAAGGGACAGGGAGAAGGCATGAAGAACTCTGCCTGGCAATATGGGAAGCAACCGGAATGCCAGGGCACCGTTGTCCCTCAGGGAGCTAAGTGCAACTGGGGACCAAGACAAACACGTGCACAGAGAAAGAACAGCTGCGGGCCGTGGCTGATGGTGGTGCAGGTTCAGAGAGGGAAAGTTACTGTGGGTGGTTACACTCAGATTCCACAGCCTTGTCCTTAGAGGCGGAATCCAGTCCTCTCATCTGGTGGGTAAGGAAACAGAGGCCCAAAGAGAAGATGGGTTTTGCCCACACTGCAGTGGTTATCCAGCTAGACCAGACGCTAGAATCAGATCAGAGAAGGCAACATGGAAGCTTAGTGAGACATAAGCGGGGCCTTTAAAGATAGTCTCCCATGCTTTTTTTTTTTTTTTTTTTTTTTTTTTTTTGAGACAGAATCTCACTCTGTTGCCTGGACTAGAGTACCATGGCATCACCTTAGCTCACAGCAACTTCAAACTCCTGGGCTCAAGCAATCCTCCTGCCTCAGCCTCCTGAGTAGCTGGGACTGCAAGTGAGTGCCACCATGCCCTGCTAATTTTTTCTATGTTTAGTTACCCAGCTAATTTCTTTTCTTTTTTAGTAGAGACAGGGTCTTGCTCTTGCTCAGAGCTGGTCTCGAACTCCTAACTTCCAGTGATCCTCCCACCTCAGCCTTCCAGAGTGCTAGGATTGCAGACATGAGCCACCATTCCCAGCCTCTCCCAGGTTTTTGGTTGGAACTGAGCACAGGCAAAGAGCTGGGCGTGAGCAAGGCCTGAGCAAAAGAAGGTGTCCTGGCAGAACTTGATGGCGTGAATAGCATGGGCAGTACGGCCTAGCAGGTAGGAGCACAAACTCAGGAGCCAGACAGCCTGAGTTTCAATTCCAGCTCTATCATCTCCTAGCTGTGCAACCTTGGGCAAGTTACTCAACCTTTTCATAGCTCAGTTTCCTACCATGCAAAATAGGGGTGATGAAAATGCCTACTTCATAGCCTCATTATAAAGATTCAGTGGTTCGAGGTATGTAAATTGCCCAGAGAAGGACATGGCATATAGCTAGTACTCAACAAATAAGATGTTGGCTGTTAGTGCAGTAGTAATAAGAGTGGAAATTACAGTAGCCTGAGCAGAGGAGTTTGAACTTGATGCTCTAGGTACCTGAGAGCCACACAGGTCACCTGCGAGCAGAGGTGGTGAGTGCATGGAATGCACAACACCGACAGCACCCCCTTGTGTGGGGTTGTTGTTTCCGAAGCCCAGTCATACACATCCCCTCCGTAGATCCTTCCAGCACGTCTGTGAGGCAGACCAGCCAGCATTCCTACTTAACATCTCAAGTTAAGATGAGAAAATGGAGGTGCAGAGAGTTTGTGCACAAGTGCCCAGAGCTGGGCAGAAGAGCGAGGAGGCCCCTGCAGTCATTGGGGCTGAGCCTGAAGAGGGGCCCGGCCCTGGTGCAAAGAAAGGGGTGCAGAGACATGTGAAGGAGGAATCTTCAGGACTGAATGAGTCTTTGGAGAAGGAAATGTCCAAGCTCCCCATCACTGGAGCTGAGAAGGTAGAGATGGAAAGTTGGGCAGGGCGACCAGTTTGAAGCAGGAGAAACCACGCATCCAGGTCGGGAAATGCTGAGCTGGAAGCAACAGGGTGATGAACAGGTGGAGCTGAGGAAAGATGGGCCTGAAGCCCAGGGGGAGAGAGGCTGAGCCAAGCGAGGGCAGGCGGAGGCCGTGGGGGCAGATGGCCGCTGCAGCAGAGGTTGAAGAAGGAGGAGTGACAAGGAGGGGAGGAGAGGGAAGAGGAACGGAGCATCGAGGGCAGCAGAACAATACTCCAAGTCTCCATAACCTCACCTTAGTCCTGCCACCCCATAACATCCCCTGCATCACGGCCTGAGGGCCCCGAGCCTGCTGTTGGGGTGTCAGTTCTCATCAGAGGAGGGACATGAGAATATTGCCATCACATGTCCTTAGACTAAGGAAAAATATCAGCCACCACAAACACTGTCCGTGCTGCCATCACAGGTGGGTTGAGCCTCACAGGGACCCTACGATGCAGGCAGGGCAGAGCAAGGATCTTACATCCTCATCTCACGACCAAGGCATGGAGGCTCAGAGAGACCAAGTAACTTGTCCATGCTTGCTCAGCTGGCTAGCGTCAGAGCCAGGACTGGAAACCAGGCCTCCAGTGCTCAATCCGCAACAATGCCAGCGGCTCGGCTGGTGCCCGCCGTCCAGGTGGGGAAAGGAGGAGGAGGGAGAGCTTCAGGCAGCACAGGAGGCTGGCATCCTCTGAAAACGATTTTCTATATGTGCTTTTTGGAATTTTGCCACTGAGGAAGTTGTGAAATGTCACGTGCTTCTCTGATGCTCTGAAGCCAAACTGATGGCCCGTTCATCAGTCCTTTGGAGCCTGGTACAGTAGAATGAAGGAGAGCCGTGGGGTCTGACAGACTGGGCTTCTCGACCTACTCTAGCATTCAGAGCTGTGCGACCTGGGGCAACTGACCTAACCTTTCAGAGACTCAGTTTCCTCATCTGTAAAATGGAGATGGCACCTAACTCACAGTTCTCCACCCACAAAGGGTTGATAATTATGCCTTTGCCATAGTGTTGTTGCGAAAATTCAACAACAACAGATGCACACCCAGCACCTGGCACAGCCCCCAACACACAGGAGACCCCAGAAATACGCGTTCCTTTCCCTCCCCTGCCCCGTGCCTGGGCATGTTCGCGTTCCCCAGTCCCCCTTTTTCTAAAACTCAAATGAGACCCGATTAGACAATAACATGAATGGAAAAACCACTCGTGAAGATGCTCTAAGGAATTCCTCTCATTCCCCCTCCTTCTGGGGACTCTTAAAGGCAGAGAGCCACATGTCAGGACATAGTGACACATCTTTTGAGAATCTCAATAGAGCAACACTCCAGGGAACCACGGGCCAAAAAATAACTGCCTGGCAAGTCCTTGCATGGAGAACTAGCAATCAATAAATATCTTTGGATTTGGAGGTGTCTTAAGGGCCAACTGTAATATGGGTATGTTTTGGAGTTTGTACGCATTCTGCTGGGGAAATGGCTCGTGTTTATCTCTCCTCCTGCCAGCCTCCTAGGGTTTACGATGTGGCCTTCTTTTAATGATTAACAGCCCAGACGGCAGAGATGAAGGAGTCTATTCTGGGTTGAGAGGCAAGGAAGTATTTTCTGAGACCATGTGACCCAAGATGGAAACGCTGATGGGGGCCTCCAGGGTTTGGGTAGAATCCCAGAAAGCAGCTGTGAAGCTGGCAGGGGAAGGAAAGAAAGGAGAATCGGCTTCTTTACCTCTTGCTGCCGGAGTGAGCGTCTAGACTGAAATTCGAACTGTGCTTATTAATGGAATAATTAGTCAGGTGCATGCAGATGTCATCCTGGGGAGAGAGACACAGTCTGTGGGGTCAAGCCAGAAGCTTGGGCCTCCCGCTTCCTCACAGTGCCCTCCCGTGGCCCCTAGGGCTTAAAGGGATGGGAAGAAAGGGAAGACTTAGGGCTTACTTGAACTAGCAAAATAGAGGAAGTAGGAAGGGGTGTCCTGTAGCCTGGAGCATAAGAAACTCCAGCTCTCCTGAGATTGGGTGGTGCCCTGCCTGAGGACAGCCTCAGGGGTACGGGGGGCCTGGGGTGGGGAGGACGGCAGGGTAGCTCACCCATGGCTTTTCTCCTCGGGCACCCCTGAACTGTGGAGTCAGGCAGAGCTGGCCATAAGTTCCAGACTCAGCTCTTCCTAGCTATGTGACCTTGGACAAGTCCCTAATGCTCTGGCTTTTAACCTCCTTGTATGTGAAATGGGGACAATAATCCCTCTCTTGAGGACTCTTGAGAGGGCTAAATGGGAGAACAGGTACAACCCAGCACATAGTAAGTGCTCAGCAAATGACAGCCACATCCACAGTGTCTTGAGAATGTGGATTTAACTAGGATTATTTTACCATGCTAAGTGGGTAGGGTGAGGCAGGGTGTCCCCTTTAGCTCACCAGGTTGTCTATGCAAGGCGGGGAATAGGAGGTCGTAGCAAAGCGGGCCAGCCCTTCATTGTACACAAAAATCCTGAGAGGGTCACAGGATGTCACCAGCACATAAATCCGTAGGTCAAACTTGAACCCATCAATGATAAAGGGCTGGGAGGACAGAACAGAAGTCAGACAATCATCAGAGGAGAGATTCACACTTGAAAATCACTAGTTCCCACCTTGTTTTCATGGAGTCAGCTCCAACATTGCTTAGTGTTGTAGAGGGCAGGCTTGGCCAGGGTCAGAGATGGCAGGGTCTGGGGGAAGGAGACTTAGGCTCTGTGACCCAAACACGTGACCTTGTGGAGGTCACTAAAACCACACTGCCTCGGTTTCCTGATCTGTCCAATAACACAAGTAACCACCTCCAAGAGACATTGTGGCAACTAAACAAAGTGACAATTCAAATGTCCTTTGGTGGTCCAGGCACAGTGGTTCACATCTGTAATCCTAGCACTTTAGAAGGCTAAGGTAGGAGGATTGCTAGAGCCCAGAAGTTACAGGTTGTAGTGAGCTATGATGACACCACTGCACTATAACGTGGGCAACAGAGCAAGACCCTGTCTCAAAAACAAAAAAGTCCTTTAATGATAGGACATATGGTCACCATCCAGGGCTACAGTAGTTGCAGTTCTGCAACAGCTGTCCCTGCAGTGTTGTCTCTTGGTCATTTTGCTTCCCCCTCCATCCATGCTTCTCGAGGGCTCCCTCCCATGGTAGGTTATCCCACTGTGACCTCTGACCTCCAGCCATGGAGGAAAGCTGGTTACCATGAACCGCTCCACGACTCCCCCCACTTTTCCCAAATAAGTTGGGGCTTCTGCAATCCCACGGTGCCTTCCCAGCCCTCATGTTCATGTGTCAGAGGGAAAGGGCCAGCCTAGTGGCCAGACTAAATGACAAGGGTGCATTGTCTTTGACTTTTGACAATAACAAAATAAAACAGTGCAAGACACTCTGGCCCAGGCACGTGCCGGCACCCTGGGTCAGAAAGCTTGGCCTGACAAAATCCACAGCAGAAGACAGGCTCTCTGCTTCGCCCCTACCTCCACCCTCCAGTCCCTCATTTCACATTCTGTCCGGTGGAGCCCGAGGTTGCTATGGGTGATAAATAAATAATCACAATGAGGAAGTACCTTTGAAATATACAGCTGACAGATCATATCCTCCCCTGGTTTGATTTCTTTCACCGTCCGGGTAATGAATATACCTCTCCCTTGGCAGCCTGAATCCGGCTTACAAATATATGTCTTATTTTTTCTTGACCTGCTGTAGGTCTGCAAATCTCCCCAGCTACCAGAGCAGGGAGGGAACAAGACACATCTTTAGCTGGGGAATGATGAAAAGCAAGGCTAGCTTTTTACCAGGAGAAAGAAAGAAAAGCTATCTAATGTGACAAAGCTCCGGTGTTGATAGTCACCCAGAGCTCTGGCAATGGGGGTGGGTAAGCAATATACAATGGAGAGTGTGGTCTTCAGAGGAAATTCAGGGCTGTATTTAAACCCAGGCAATGCCATTTCCTGGCTGTGTAACCCTTGGCAAGGACCTGACCTCTCTAAGCCTCAACTTCACCATCTCTACAATGAGGACACTAACAACACTCATCTCCTGTGGTGCTTGGGTTCATGACATAAGGCGGGCAAAGCGCTGACGTGTGCTGTGCACCCCATAAAGGTGGCCATGACCCAGGTAGTTTGGTTTTCTGGGGTTTGCATACAGATTTGGAACCTGGATCTGGCTCAACCCCTGATGAGTGATCTGACCTTGGGTCATTCAGTCTCTTATCCCTTCAGCCAGAGTATGGGACAGCAAAATAATCTCTTTGAACATGCTTTGAAGAAAGTATATTCAGAAGAAAGAAATCAATTTAATGGATTTTTATCTCCCAGTCTTGCTATACTTTTTGTTTTGCATTTTAACTTGTAGAACCTTGTGACCATTAGAGAAGTCACTTTACTACAATGCTCCTCAGTGGTCATTAAATCTAGAGTTCCTGTTGACCTAATTGCAAAGACACTTCCTTCTAAGTTGCTGCTAAGCCCTGGAAGTTATTTCTGACAAGCTAAGGAGAGGCTGAGAGATCCCTGGAGCTCTTGGTTTGGGGAAGCACTGGGTGGAGAGGAGAGGGTGGGATTCCTCTGGTGCCCTGGCCACGTAAGTATATTTCTGAGGGCGACACTTCTCCACCCCCTCTGCCCTGACTCAACCACAAGATTGCCCCCAGATCATGTTCATGTCATCTCATGTGTATCCTGTCTCTTGGTGGTGTGGTCCAGAGCATTTTACAGACCAGGAAAGGATATCCAGTTTTGAAATGGAGAAAATGAAACCAGAGAGGGGGAAGCACTGACCACTGCCCATGGAGCTGCATTGGGACAGATGCCAGGCATCCCTCCCTGCTCCTAACTGGGAGCTAACCACTACCTTTCTTTCTCCAGAAGTGCTCGTGGTCCTTAAAAATTCAGAAACTGTACAGTTAAATGGTTGGAATGAGTTCAAAATCAACAGCTTTCACAGTCAGAAAAAACTCTGATCCCAACTGCAGGTACAGGCTGCAAGGCACCCAGCCCCTAAATGTCATCTAGTTTTATAGGCAGAGCCTTGTGTTTTCTCAACCTTGGACACACCCTTTATCCTTTCTCTTCCTAAACAGGTGCCAGAGAGATGGGAGATCGTATGGGAAGGGAAAGTAACCATCAGCGAATGAGGGCAAGAGGCCAACATAAAATAAATGGAGGTGGGGTGTGGAAAAGGAAGCACAGGGGTCACTCACTCAGCAGGAAGACACCAAGTCCTAGGGAAAAAGTGGAAATCTTTAGGGAACATCTTGAACATGCGGCTCATATTCCTGGCCAGCAAGTCCTTGCGGCAGATTTCACTCATCCCAGGGAAGTGATTGATTTTCTGCAAAAGAAGCTGGAATTCATGAACCACTGGGGGACACAGAGGACCAGGAGATCCCCTCGGGAGGCAGTTATAAAAACAAGGCCCCCACTGTCTAGGTGCCACACTGAGGACCACACTGACCCAGATACCTGGTAACTTTTCATTTCCATCACGCGCTCCAGCGACACCGAGTAGTCTGTCCAGTAGAGCGTCCAGTCATCGTTTTCCCCTCCCTCTCTAAGGCCATACAGCTGAGCTGCCCTACGCACTGCAGTGGAAGTGAAGAAAGAAAAGCCTGTGAGCCAGGAAGTGGGGGAGCATTGTGGGGTGGGAGGTCCCGTTTCTAGGTGCTCCCAGCCCAAGTACAAAAGCAAGAGAACCCGGGGCTGGAAGCCATCTTGGCACCACTGCCAAGGTAGGAACGTGGCGAGCTGAAAGCGATTGAAGAACACAGCCCGTGCACAATGTTCCTTACAGAAGGTTGTCTGGGATAAATGTTTTACCTGCCAGGAAGCAGGCCTCTGGCTTTCCTCCAAACCACTAAACTCTGAATGTTCAGGGAATATAAACTAATCCTTAACACCAGCCAGAGACAAACTTAATTAGTGAGATAAGTTGGCAGGAAAAAAAAAATTACACATAATACACTGAGTATATATATATATATATGATACAATGTATTTCAAAACCACATATATGCTATCACATCCTTCTTCCCCTGCCCCTGTAGTATTAGAATGGGGAGTTGACTCTACCACAAACCCAAGGGCCTAGAGAGGGAGAAGTACCTGCAGTAACCAGGAGAGTATTCCAGACGACCAGCCTAAAGCATTTAAATTTGAATTTAAAATACAACAGCAACACTGTGCTCTGTAGTACAAAATAGATCTGTAGGCCAGAATCAGTTCCTGGACTGTCAGTCTGTGATTTGTGCTGTAAAACAGAGCCACTGAACGCAGCAACAGCTGCCTTTTCTACAATCAGACCCCCAAATCATCATATATAAGAATTACAGATAGGTATAGTACACACCATTGTGGTCAAAGCCTATGATTCTTAGGATAAGATCCCCAACTTCTTCAAATAGTTCATTGAGCTAGGAGAACTAAAGAACAGGATTTAGAGACACCCCCTTCAGCCTCAAGAATATACAAGAGTGACCATTCTCAACCCTTTGAAGGAATCCAGTGGGTCCCCAACATAGATCCCAGATGCTCACCGCTCTCATACCGACAGCTGGTTAAATTGATCACCAATCATCTGGAAAAGAGAAAAAGGAAAACAGCAAGACAGAGACAGACACACTTGCCAGAATAAAGGACTGGACCCGGAAACAGCCTGTCCCAGGTGGAGCTGCATGAAATCTAGCCTGCCACACTGAGCCTGGTTTGGCAGTCCCTGTTACTAAAGACACGAACCCACAGGGGTACAGAGTGGCAAAAAATGTGGAATCAGAGGACTTCTCTTCATGAGGTAGAAATTTCGTACTGCAATTATGGCTAATTTTGCTTGTAGCTTTATATTAACATCATTGCCTCAATCTTTTTACTCCAGTGGTCCACCAGGGACAGAAATTGAAAATCATTTTGGCTGAAATATTTGTCTTCCCCCTTTTTCCCCTCATTAAGGGAAGCTGGGAATTAGAAAGTGGACAGGCTCTCATTTATCAATCAGTCTGAAAGGAACAAGGCATGGTGAAATATTAAACAAGAACTGGAATGTACAAGGTGTAGTCAGGTCCTAATAAGCCAGCGTGGTTCTGCTATATCTAAGGTGTGCTAAATTCTCAGGACAAATAAGCACTTTCTTAAAACAAGGAAATCTTCTCTTCCCACCCACTTAAATAAAAAAGGCTTTCTAAATACAAGTAGAATGAAAATTAGGACAAGGTGTGGTTTTGGATTACGCACACCATTATTTGATTCCTAAAACAGATCATCAAAAGTAGATTCTTTGGGACTTGAGTATGCATGAATTTGGGTAAAGGGAAAAAAAAAGAAAAGAATTTTTTAAAAAGTAGATTCTTTTTATATGAACCAAAAGTGTTGTGATTTTGCCAGTCTCAGATCACAGTTTCTTCTTTACCCTCTCATCATCAGCAACACCCCCTTCCCCCCAGATCCTTCTTGTTCTCACCAACATGGATCCCCACTCCCCATCTTTCAATCCTAACCTCTTTTTCTTCCTCTTCTTCTTGCCTTGCTGCTGGGCATTCTGAGGACCCTTTTGAATCTCAGTGTTCTCTCTCATAAAAGCCAGCATGATGATTTCTTTTGGATCTTCAATGGAACAGTCCTTCCTCTCTTCGAAGCCTGCTCCTTCCTCACTTTCCAAAGTCAGGCACGGTAGCATCTCCCTGGCCTGGGAGGAAGCTCTGGGGAAAAACCAGCTCTCTCCCTGGAGAAAGAACAGAGGGAGCGGCAGTTACATGGATATTCCTGCAGGGGGACCCCTTCCCTTGCTCATGTGGGTGGTGAACCAGGGTTCCAAGACAAGGCAACAGGTTGCCGATAATAAAATGCTATCCCCACTTCCATGGTGGGTGCAAGCTCAGGGAGGGAGCTGACTCTACCTTTTGCCATTGACTCTGACCCTGGGGACTCATTCAGCCAACCCTGGCCTTGGTTCTTCCCTCCTGAGATGCTATGCATGGCACCACCTGGTAAACAATCTTATTATTAAAGTGAGTGAGTGTCTAGAGACAGCCTCAGGACCAAGCCCCAAGCCTTCCTTGCTGAGCAAGTTAGTCCCAAGAGGGTGCAGGTGGAGGTGCTTTGAGGAGGTCTGTTAACTGTTTCAGCACTGCAAAGAACTTCCCACACTGCAATCTGCTGGCCTGAAAGTGAACACCACCCTCGCTCAAGGAGTACATGACTGACTTGTAGCTGATTGAACAATAAGGTTCCAGCCCAGAGCCAGATGCAGACCTTCAGAGACCCCAAGCACAGAAAAGGCTATCATGCCTCCCCGACTATCCATTCCAAAATAAAAACAAGAACAAATCATAAAATACATATAACAAAGATCCATCCTGCAAAGATCTCATCCTTCCTGGCCCCATGAGACTTCTTTGATGTTTACTCAAAATTTCAAATATCGAATATTTTTTAAATGGAATTTTAATGCCTCTTAGGAACTTCTGCTCCTTAGGAACATGCTTAGTTTGCCTTTGGGTAACCCAGAACTTCCAGGCCCAATTAACTGACTCACATTTCCTCATAGCCAAGGCTCCTATCACCAGAAAACCAATTTTGGGGGGCTCTCCCTTTCTCCCCTCAACTCTGAAAACCCCACAAGCCTCCTCGCCATTTCAACCCTCTCCTTTGGTACCCATAGTCCTCTTGCTACCTAACACCTCTCCTTCCCTCACAAATTCTTTGGATTTTTTAAAAAAATAATAATATCTTTGTTATAATTTATTATTATTGTAATGATATAACTTTAAAGCAGACTTAGAAAATGGGGTAGGGTGGGAAATCACCTGTGGCTTTCCTACCCTAACAAAGCAACACTGACCTATTTGTGGATTCTCTTTTATTCTTAGCTTCTAAGCATAATTATTCATATATGGTTGTAATCAATTTTGTATCTGCTTTTTGCCCAATAATGTCATATCATAAACGTCCTTTTTCTTGTGGCAAAGTTTACATGTTTCTGGTTTTTAATGGCTGTGTAATATTTGATTGAAGGAATGTGCCTGAATTTAACCAACCATTGCCCTATTGTTGGAAATTTAAGTTGCTTTGCTTTGATATTATATAAATAGCTCTAAAATGTATGCTTTTATATATAGATCATCTTTTACTTCCTTGAGGTTATTTTTTTAAGTTAATATCCTGGGGTTACAGGATACAGGATTACAGGGTTAATAAATATGCAAATTATATAGCTTCTGTATATTTATAAAATCACCATGTTGCTTCCCAGAGGAATTCAAAGAATTTAGACCATTACCAGCAATATGCAACTGTAGCAGTCTCATCAGAGTTGCATGATCTCTTGGGAATCACCTTCCTTCTGTACACAAACTTGCTAATTCTAGACAACTTTAATACCCTACAGCCCTATCTTCAACATTACTGTACCCTTTCAGCTCTCTCTGCCCCTTTCCCAAACCAAATCTAATAGTGGTGGAGCTCTCTAACTATGGAGACTATCTATGAACAATTTAACAATAAGACCTTATGTGGGGGTAGTTCTTTGGGCTTTTCAAATAATTTGCATATGCATACTCTCATTGAATTCTCACAGCTGCCCCTAAGAGGGAGAGCAGAATTACCAAGCCGGCTAAGGATTGCTACTTCTTTCTCTCTCTTGCCACTTACACCCAAGTTCCTCTCTAGTGACACCAGAGCAAGAGGAGAAAGAGTTGTGCTCAGCGCAACTGACAGATAAAGTCTGGGCCTTGTGAGTCAATTTTCCCCAGTGAACAGGCACATTCTTGGCAAAGTTCAAGAGAACTAAGGTATATGAAGTCTTGACCTTGAGCTGCTCCCTTCATTGCAGGTAAATGACCAGCTCCACTCCCAGAACTGCTCCTGTTTACCAAGCCCTCAAGGAGGAGTGGCTCCGTTTACCTAAAGGTTAATGTTAACTTGGGGAGGGAAAACTGACCCTGAATGTAACTTCTGGAGTTTCAGGTTGTCTTCGCCCTTTTTCCAGTCCTTGCCCAAGTGGTAAGAACAGGTTATGGCTGCTTATGTTTGTCTGCCTCTAAGGAAAGATAAAAAACAAAAAACAAAAAAAAAATCTGTCAAATTCTGTTTGTTCTTGCATGAGAGGACCTCAGGCACATAGAGCAAGGAAGTGAGCCCACATACTTTTAGGGGAACTGGTTAACTGTGACATTCTTGGATACATTGCCCCGTATTCTAGGTTACCTATGATATGGAATTCCTTTGGGTGGCACCTAAGACAGGGGAAGATGACAGACAACAGCATTTGCCACATGTGACTATTTTTGCTTTGTCTTTGGTCCCCTTGCTTTCTCATCCCCCAGCCCTCCCCTCCCAGTTTAACCCCCAAGGCTGAATCCTGCTGACTTCTCTTCAAAGGATCCTGAGAGAGAACATGTCCTTGAAAGGCTGTCTACTGGGGACATGCATCCTGAGTCCAGTCTGCAGAAATATTCAAGTGTTCCATAGCAGTGTGTGGTTATTGCTATGGTTGTTTGGTAGAAGTAGTTGCCAATAACTAGAAAATGCAGATTTCGGGCCAGGTGAGGTGGCTCATGCCTCTGTAATCCTAGCAGTCTGGGAAGCCAAGGTAGGAGGAGAGAGACCCTGTCTCTACAAAAAATTAAAAAATTGGCTGGGCATGGTGGCATGTACCTGTAGTCCCAGCTACTTGGGAGGCTGAAGCCAACAGATCCCTTGAGCCCAGGAGTTTGAGGCTGCCGCGAACTATGATGACACTATTGCACTCTACCCAGGGTGACAGAGTGAGACTCTGTCTCAAAAAAAAAAAAAAAAAAAAAAGGAAAAGAAAAAGAAAATGCAGATTTCTCATAAAAATCTGGCTTTCCATTTTTTTTGGGGAAAGTAATTCTACATTCCTTCATACCGGCAATCAACCAGAGCTGAGTAATGCCTTCTCTAGACATTTTTCAGTCTGCCCCAATATCTAACATTCATTATTGCCTCCCTGACACAAGATCCAAGTGACAGTTTCCCTTGTGCTGTTATTTTTCTTACAGTAGCATTACAAGAGAGGTGACATCTTCTTAAACCCAACCCACTTCTCTCATTTAGGCTACACACCTGACCCCATAGACATCTGAATTGACCAGTTCTGCTTCAGTGTATCTCTGGCCTCTAAGCTGTCTCAGGTTAGAGCAAAAGCTGCTCCTCCCACAGCTGAATGAAAAGCATTTTAATCCCCAATTTTCAGAACAAGAATTAGACCTGACCCACCTGAAGCCGGGACCCCTTCAGTCTTTCCAGATGGGGGCCTGGTTTGGCTCTACCATACTTCTCTTACCCAGTCTTAGCTACCACCTTGCTCCTCTGGGAGTTCTCACCTACTGTGCTGCTTAACAGTTTGGTTGGTGCCAGTTTTGTAGCCTTGAGGAATAAAAGGAGGAAAAGCAAAAGATTCAAAGGACAAGGCCAAAGAGAAAACAAAAGAGTGAAGGGAGCTGCTGGCAGCATCCTGAGACACGTGTACATCACACAGTAAGGGCCTCTGCAGTCAGCAGAGGTGACTTTAATCCACTTGTTAAGAGACAGCTGTAGTGCAGTGGCTAAGAATGCAGATTCGGGAGTCTATCTGCCTGCATGTAAGTCCCAGCTCGGCCACTTCCTAGTTGTCTGACCTCTGGCAGTTTATTTAACCTCTATCTGCTTTAGTTTCCTCATATGTAAAGTGGCTTGTCCCAGTTTTGGAAATTAAATGAGTTCATTCGTTTGACTTAATATAACACAAAGATCTTAGAACTGAGCCTGGCACATAGTAAGTACTCACAAAGTGCTATCTATAGTTATTAGCAGTGTGACCCTGGACTACGAGCTTGTTGATGGAAGAGGCTGTATCTGGCATTCGCAGCTCCTAGCATGGCTCCCATGGCACATGGCACCTGTTCGTATGCTTCTTGAATTAATGGACTGGAAAAAAATGAATAAATGCATGAGCTAATTTAGCCTCTCCAGGGTTCATTTTCCTTAGTTATATAATAGAAGTGTTGTTGTGAGCATTGAGTAAATAACATTTGTCATTTACATTGTTAAAGCGTCAACCTTGGGTCCTTTTCATACAGCAGGCACTTAAAATGCTTGGTTTCAGTCACTTACAACAATGGCTACTACTTTACAACCAACTTACCAAGTAACAGACATTATATATTACTAAAGCATTTATATACACAATGTCTCATACTCATACTATCTTTCCTCTATTACAGATAAGAGGACTGAGGCAGAGAGGTGAAGGTAAGAGGCACAGCTGGGATTAGAAGCATGTCTGTCTGACCCCACTGCCTGTCTATCTTCCACACTCTGCTTACTGCCCTTTCCTTTCTGCTGATCACTCATAAATGGTGTGAACATAAAGTAACTGATCTCCTAACTCCCAGAATGAGTCCTGGTGATTTTAATCCCTTAAGAATCCCTTAAGAATTCATCCACCAGGTGTAAGTGGCTCTTGCCTGTTATCCCAGCATTGTGGGAGGCGGAGGTGGGAGGATCACTTAAGCCCAGGAGTTTCAGACTGGTTTGGGCAACATATTGAGACCCTGTCTCTACAAAAAATTTAAAAATCAGCTGGGTATGGTATCACATACCCGTAGTCCCAGCTACTCAGGAGGCTGAAACAGGAGGATCACTAGAGCCTGGGAGTTTGAGGCTGCAGTGAACTATGATTGAGCCACTACACTCTGGGTGACAGAGCAAGACTCTGTCTTGAAAAAAAAAAAAAAAAAAAAAAAAGAATCAGTAGGTCCCACATCATTTTCATTAAAGTCAACTACTTCTAAATTCCCATCTCCAACAAGGGGCTTGGATCTCCCCAGGCTTGTCATAACTTGGGAACAGCTCTATCGTTCCTACTTTGTATTTATTTTCACCTTCTTTCTTTCTATTCTTTTCCCTAATGTCCACATTGTACCAGAGCTCTTATTAGGGGTATACTTAGAACATTTTCTAAGCTTGTATGAAATTCCTGAAGATTAGAGCTGGCAGGAATCTTGAATGTCTAATTCAACCCATTTACTTTTTAGAGAAGGTTTTGAATCCACCCCTCCCTCCCCACTAGTCTGGGCCAGGGGAGGGGACCTGCACATAGCCAGAGAACAAGTCATCAGAGCCACCACCAACACCTGGGCTTCCTGACCCCCTAATATCTTTTTCCCTTATGCCAGGTTAGTGGACAGGCAAAGTGGCCTAAGTGCTTTGGAGAAAACTAAGTGGTAGTGCCACTCTTAGAAAACTAAGAGTGGCACTACCAACGCAATGAACGCAGTAAACAGCATCTTCAGTTTTTCTTAGGAACACAAGAAACATTCAGTTCATCTTTCCAAGAAGGATAGTTAAGACAGTGAAAAAACACTGGTGTTTCCTTCCATTTTAGTCTGGGGTTTGATCTTGAGATCTTCCAAGCCAGAGGCTGTCAACCAAATCCTGATTAGACGGATGAAAATGCCCTACATTGGCCACCAGAGGGAGGGAATGAGCGCGGGGACGGCTCTATGCAGACACATTGCCGGTTATTTAGAAAAATCTCAGAGGAGGGTCCATGTCTCATTTCCACTTATAAAGGACTATATGTGTTGACCATTCTTTTTTTCCCCTGGAAGTGTTGCAGAGGGTGGAAAAATGTTTGGTGCTTTCTTTTGCAAGACAATGAATATGGGTGTCCTATAAATAATAGGAAAGAGTGATTTGGTGATTGATTAAAATAAGAACCAAAGGGGAACATATTACAGGTTGTAGCCTTTTTCATTCCTGACTTTCACTGCCTGGACTTTTCTTCCATTCCATAGGAATACATACAGCAATGAAGGGCTTTCCTACTGTGTTTGCCTGTCACATCCTTCTTTTTCTCCAGATAATAGGTTTTCCTTTACACACCCCCTTTGCATCTTTTGGTCCTCATTTCTCTACTTACTGGAAGCATCCCTTTGAAGATGTCCAAGGGCTAGGTCTTGGAAAATGTCGAAGAGGATGAGGGAATAATAGATGCAGAGGTAAGATTTCTGGATCATGCTTTCAGCTCTGCCCCTCTGACTCGTGTGCCATAAGAAGCCAAGCAATTATTTCCTCTCCCACTCTTATCTCCACTGTGATTACAGGACCACCAGGAAGATGAAAGCTTCACATCTAGAAAAGCGCTTTGAGCTTTGATTCAGGCAGGATAAAATAAGATGCTTTGGACGTTCTTTTGGCTTTTCATTCTAGTCACCCTTCAAATTTCAGCCCAGAGCTTGGCAGAGTCCTTAGCAAAATATGGACTAACAAAGGAGGGGTGGGGACACCGAACTGCTCAAGAACTTTGCCAATAAGAAGTGCTGAGAATGACAGGCCATTTAGTGGGAACAACGAGAATCTCACTGACTCAGATGCCATCTGTTATTCTGCTAGAAATTGAGGAATTCTGCAAGATTGGAAGATGCAATTTTCAAGTTGGGCTCATGCCCAGCCATTTTCTCCAAAATACTCAGGGCATCACTAGAAAGGCAGATGGACCTGGATCCAAATCCCTGCTCTACTAATTTCGAGACTGGTGGCTGTGGGTAACTTAGCCTCTTTGTACCTCAGTTTCCTCGTAAATAAAATGTGGATGATAATATTCATCTCATGAGCTTGTTTAAAGATTAAATGGGTTAATATTTCTAATGACCTTAAAACAGTGCTTTGTTCAAGATAAGGGCTACATTGTAAAATGAAAATATAATGGTAGAATTGGTGCAAATATCAATTAACTTTTTGGAGTGCCTAGCACATACCGGTGCTTAATAAACGTTAGCTCCCTTCCTACTTCAGGCTCAAATGTAAGCGATATTTTTCCTAGGGTTCAAATCCCAAAGGAGAACTTTCATCAAACCTAGAAGAGTGTTCCTTCAGGAGGGATGAGAAATGACAACTGGACGTGAAGGAAAATCAGGCTGGAAAGAGTGTAGGAGCATCTGCAGAGGGCTCTGTCGACTGTAAAAAATGGGAAGTGCCTATTTGAAAGCTTTTTCAGACAAAGGAAAAAAAAGTGATGAGGAGAAGGACCCAATGATGGGGGAACAAGAAGGTGAAGACAGTTGTGAGTCCCAGGGATCGCTAGCGTCTAAGGGACAGCTCCTTGGTGGCACCGGGTTTAGGAAATCGGGAGAGGGTAGGGACTGCGCATTAACAAGAGGGGCTAAGAAGAGACAAGCTCCAGAGCCGAGGGGCCAAGAGTGCCTGACGCTGTAAAAAGCCACCAGGGAGGGCAGAGGGGTGGCCCGGAGGAACTGGGCGCCGGGTGGGGTAAGGAGGTGTGTCGAGCCGGGTTTTCAGTGGGGAGGCAGCAGGAGGCTGCGGTCTGGAGCCGGCACTGGGCTTTGGGGCGCTCTTACCCGCGGTTCCTACTCCCGCGTCTGGCCCCCGCTCTGCTGCCCGTGTCGCCGGCAACCACACCGGCGGGCCCCCTCCTCGCAGGACTAAGGAGACTCGCTCCCATCGGCTGCCAGACAACCCCAACCCCGACCCGCGCTCCTCCTAACTTCGGTCCGCAGGGGCCTCATATTTGCATATAGGGCCTTCTAGGCCTTCGATTGGCCCCTGCAGTGGCTGCCATGCCCCCTCCCTCCCGAATCCAATTAACCGCCCCAGCGCTCGGCTGGGGACGCGCCCAAGGTTGTCCCGGGAGACTTGCAGGACGCGCGGGCCGCGCTCCCCGGCGCGAGGGCCAGGCTACCGCTCGCCCTCCGCGCGTCCCCGGCCCGCCACGCGCCACGCCGCGCCAGGCAAGCAGAGAGCTGCTTGGACCACTCGGGCCGCGCCATCCAGGCGCCGTGCGCGGGGGCGGCCGGAACAGCTGGCTGCGGGGCTGTGGCGAGGGAGCGGCACCTTGAACTTACACCCAGGAGTCGGACAAATGTCCAAAACCAGAATCGGGAGAGCTTGGGAGAGCTTTGGATTGAGACCCAAGTCGGGATCTCAGGCATATTATTGCCTGTGTAACCTTGGGCAGTCCACATTGCCTCTCTGAGGCTTAGCTGCTTTAATAGTAAAATGGCTGTTGCAAACTCGTAATGAACCGCTCAGGCTTATTGAATCGTAACCTCCCCTCCAGAAAGTGAGGAATCATGGCCTACACTGAACTAACTGATCCATCAGAGGGACCCCGTCCAGATCGCCAGAAGAGCCAGTGGCACTTAAGGGACCAGGGGTCTTGGCTTCTCGCAGCCACCATTTGACTGTCCTCAGGTGGGGAATCTGTGATGGTGCAGGACTTGTAACAGTGATTGTATTCAAATAATTGTAGTCTTCCTTCCGTTTCCACCTGTCTGCACTTAAATTCCTGCCTGCCAGACTGCCCGCAAAGAACTGGCAGGCAGTAGAGCTGTTTCTGCCAGGGTTAATTCAGGATTTGGTGAAAGATCAAAGAATCGATTTTAAGTTCCTGAACCATAGTCTTTCTAGAAGACTTCCCTTATGAATTGAGCTAAAGACTTCTTGTTGCTTATGCCTCTCTTCTTTCTTTAGAATTTTCCAGGTGCTTGATTTGATGCAACTGAAATGTAGCTGCTCCTGTGAAAAGGGATTGTTTAGTCTCAAGGACTGAAACAATGAGTCATTTGTTACTTTTCTGCTGAGGGTACAGCCTTTGCCCTGCACTTGAGGGGAGGCATACAAGAAAGAGGATAAACAGTCCGGCCTCAGGAAACTGATGGAAGAGACAGGATCCACAGCTCTGATGCCCAGCCTGTTGGAGTGAATCCAGGGAAGTTTCCGGGAGGATTCCGGCAGATTCATTGAGAACATTGTGCCCATGAGTGTGCCCAGGACTTCATGTGTGCTGTGATAGGGTATTGGGGAAATGGCAGGTAAAGAGACTAAAAAAAACCCATAGGATAGCATAAAGATTGTTTCAAAGTGAAAACATTCGAGCTACAGCAGATGCAGAAAGAAATCTTATCTCAACTTCCCTTATCTGAATAAAGCAGCTGCCATGAACCCTTTGTCCCCGTGTGGAGGTCTCTAGTTAGGGAGTCTTGGCACTTCACACTGGGACTTTTTATAAAAATTGTATAAATAAGCCTCATCATAAGAACTTTCTATCCTTTGAAGCCCTAACCTACTCCCCACTCAGAATAAAGCTGGTATATAAACCTTTATCCCAGTTGTTTCGGTGTTACTCACTACTGACTGCCTGTATGCATATGAGTAAACTTTGTTTATTGGAACCTGAGTTAGTAATTTAAGTTTCTCCCAACATAGGAAATTGCTCCTTCACCAGCCAATATGCACCAGCAGGACCCTAGAGCCAAAGGCATAGCTTAGCCCCAAGCATATGCTAGAAGCCTGTCATGTGATGCTTACATTCACCCTGGAGTGAACAGAGGACAGAAGGTGGAACCAGTGGCCCATCTGCTGCTCTTCCAGAAACCTCACTGCCACCCAGTCAGTTCTCTTCCCTCTTCCTTCATCCCTGCAGGTGGCCCCAGGCTATGCCCCTCCCCCTCTTCAGGGCCCTAAGGACCCAGGTGACCACCATCAACTGGCCACCCAGCAGATGCTTCCCTAAGACCAACTGTCCCAGCTCTGTTCCCCGCCCCCATCCCACTGCATTCTTTCCCCTGTGTCCTACCAATCTGCTATGCCAGGCTCACACTTTGGTCCCGATCCCTCCCTTCGGAGTGATATTGTGATGGAAATGAGGGAGAGGATGCAGCAGAGAGCAGCAAAGATTTATGGCTTTCAGAGGGTTTCCATTAAAATCCCTGACAACTGGTTATTTATGAGAGGGTGGCTGCAATGGGAGATAGGCCAGAGCCTGGCACCACTGTCCTTTCAGGGGCAATGACAGGAGCAAACACAGGGTGAACAGTAGAGCTGCCCTCTCTGTACTGCAAAGCAAGCTTTCACTATCAGGCATACCCCGCAGGGTCAGAGAGACAACTAGAAACCAGAGAACCTCAGCGATCTGTGCCAGGCAAACCAGAAACAGAAAATCAATATGGCAAGCGCCGAGGGACATTCCGGGCCTGGGCATGCAAGGCCGAAGCACAGTGTTGAAGGGTCCTTCTGGTTGTCAAAAAATTTATACCCTGTCCTCCCCTCTGAAGCATGTGAAAAAAAAAAAAAAAAGAAAGAAAGAGACCAAGACTATTGTTTTCTTTGTCGTTTTGTTCCTAAGACACCCACCTGACTAAATAGATAAATAGTAAAACAACAATGAAACCCTCAGAAGGCTGTTTGCTCTGCAGTTGACAGACTCTTTCTCAGTTTGGGCTTCTTCCTTTAAGTAGTTAATGAAACAGAGAGATCCTGCTTCTGCTGCCTGAACCAAGGTCCCTCCCGGAAGCCCTTTCTTCCTGTGCCAGTCAAAACAAAGTCTTGATATACCTACAAAGGATGGCATAGAGAGTGGGAATGAGGCAAGGGTGCTTAGAAGGTAGAATTTTGTGTACCCCAGATGTTTTTGTCCGTTTTCAGTCTGCAATGCATGAAAGAATGTTGTAGAAGTGAGCACAGTCACAGAATCAAAATCATATTGTAATCTGAAGAGTTCTTAGAGATCCCCCTGGCATTTGTCTTGTTTTCAGAGGAGGAAATGGAGGCCCAGGGAAGTAAGATGGCTTGCCCAAGGCCTTGCAATGTGTTCATGAAACCCACTCCTCCTTCTTCCATGTACTATTGCTGCTGACATTAGTCAGATAGAAATAGAAGTTGCTGCCCAGTACCTCTTTTGCTTTCACTCCATTTTGGATTTTTTGTTTTGTTTTTCTAGAGATGAGGATCCCACTCTGGCTCAGGCTGGTCTCGAACTCCTGAACTCAAGCAATCCTTCCACCTTGGCCTCCCAGAGTGCTAGGATTATAGGCATGAGCCACCGCGTCTGGCCTGCTTTCTCTCCATTTTGTTGTGTAACTGTGATGGGGCTGAAACAGCCCCTGGACATACATGGGGCTGCTCAGCCACGAGCAGTATGTTTCTGGGTTTTATTATTATTATTATTATTTTTCTTTGTTTTTACAGACAGAGTCTCACTACGTTTCTCAGGCTGGAGTGCAGTAGCTATTGACAGGTGCTGTCATAGCTTATAGCTCACTGCAACCTTGAATTCCTGGCCTCAAGTGATCCTCCCACCTCAGCATCCCAAATAGCTGGGACTACAGGTATGTGCCACCACGCCTAGCTAATTTTTAAATTTTTTTTAGAGATGATGTCTTGCTGTGTTGCCCAGGCTGGTCTTGAACTCCTGGGCTCAAGCAATCCTCCTGCCTTGGCCTCCTAAAGTGCTGGGATTATAGGTGTGAGCCACCACACCCAACCCATGACTAATTTTAAGGCATCATCTTCTTGGTACGGATGGCCCTGGAGACAAGTTCCATAGAAAATGACCTGACTGCAACTGAAATCACAGACCCATTCCTTGACCCCTTCCCATGTGGAAATCACTATGCTTGAGGCCACAGAAGATACACAGACACATGCACTAATATATGTATTACATGTACCAAAAGGAGCCTCTGCGGTCCTTTTTCCTTTTTTTTTTTTTTTTTTGAGACAGAGTCTTGCTTTGTTGCCCAGGCTAGAGTCTTTCTTTCTTTTTCTTTTTCTTTTTTTAGGAAACAGGGTCTTGCTCAAATTTTTTCTTAATTAAGATGGAGTCTCACTATATGACCCAGGCTGGTATCCAGCTCCTAGACTCAAGTGATCCTCTGGCTTCAACCTCTTGAGTAGTGGGAATACAGGCCAGTCCAAAACAAAAATTTATTTTTATTTCCTACATATGAGTGAGAACATGTGATTTTTGTGTTTCTGGGTTTGGCTTATTTCACTTAACATAATGTCCCCCTGTTCCATCCACGTTGTTGCATATGACATTTCATTCTTTTTTATGGCTGAATAATATTCCATTATGTATATATACCACACTTTCTTTCTCCATTCATCTGTCAATGGACACAGGTTGATTCCATATCTCGGCTATTGTGAATAGTGCTACAATAAACATGGGAGTGCAGATATCTCTTTGATATACCGATTTCCTTTCTTTTGGATATGTACCCAGCAATGGGGCTGCTGGATCATATGGTAGTTCTATTTGTAGTTGTTTTGAGGAACCTCTGTACTGTTCTCCATAATGGCTGTACTAATTTACATTCCCACAGTGTGCGTTGGTTCCCCTTTCTCCACATCCTAGCCAGTATCTGTCATTGCCTGTCTTTTTGATATAAGCCATTTTAACTGAGATGAGATGATATTGCATTGTAATTTTGATTTGCATTTCTCTGATGATTAGTAATGTTTAGCATATTTTTCACATACCGGTTGGCCATTTGTATGCCTTCTTTTGAGAAATGTCTATTCAGATCATTTACCTATCTTTAAATCAAATTCTCTTTTTTTCTATTGAGTTGTTTGAACTCCTTATATAGTCTAGTTACTAAATCTTGTCAGATGGGTAGTTTGCAAATATTTTCTCCCATTCTGTGGATTGTCTTTTCATGTTCTTTATTGTTTCCTTTGCTGTGCAGAAGCTTTTTAGCTTGATGTGATCCCATTTGTCCATTTTTGCTTTGGTTGTCTGTGCTTTTGAGGTCTTACTCAAGAAATCTTTGCCTAGACCAATATCCTGGAATATTTCCCCAATGTTTTCTTCTAGTAGTTTCAGGTCTTATATTTAAGTCTTTAATCCATTTTGATTTCATTTTTGTATATAGCAAGAGATAGGGGTCTAGTTTCATTCTTCTGCATATGAAGATCTAGTTTTCCCAGCACCATTTATTGAAGAGAATATCCTCTCCCCAATGTATGGTTCTTGGTACCTTTGTCAAAAATGAGTTGTTTGTAAATGCATGGATTTATTTCTGGGTTCTTGTTTTATATTGGTCTATATATCTGTTTTTATGCCAGAACCATGGTGTTTTGGTTACTATAGCTTTGTAGTATAATTTGAACTCTTTGGTGGACACTACAAAGATCAGGGTTTCTAAGAGTCTTGAAGCATACAAAACTGTCATTCAGTGGTTTCTATTGATGGTTCTTTTAGGAAGTTCCTAGAATGAACAATGGATTTATTTGCATGTTTAACTTACTGAAATAGTTGTTGTGTTAATGTAGAAAATAAGTTGTGTTGGTATAGGTGGTTTTAGTTCTCAGTGCTTTTAGAAAAGCTAATAAGTAAAATTAAGGGAAATCTATCCAGGATACTGAGGTCACTTGTCTCTGTAGACAGAGTTTAAAATGGAAGAGTATTATTTTGGTAATTCAGAAGGTGATATGAACTTCAGATAGATGCCCACTTCTTGGTTTACTCTTCATTTCCCACCATCCATTTAAATCAGTTGAATGCCACCAGTTTTGTGAAGAGGCAGAATTAGAATTGTTCATTTCCTGGCCTGAAACCTAAAGCTGCTTCAGGTGCATAAATACTCTGGTTAGATGGTACAGATGTTTCTTTCCCAATTTAGACAGTTCCTTCTTGGAGAAGTGGCACTTCTGAATTTAACCTTCCATAGACAGCCTGTGCTGTGTTTAACTGACATCTTCTGGATGTTAAAGAAAAAATTATTCTGACACTTGTTAAAATGTTAAGGAAGCATTTATTCAAAACCAAAGGGAAAATTATGATCAACTCTGAATACCATAAGGACAAGTAGGGATTTATAGCCAACAAACAGAGTGATGGGTCAGTGGATGGAAAATTACTAAGAGGAGACATCAGGGTAGGGGATGCTTATTAAACCAACTTAACAGGATTCTTGTTGAAGGCAGGCCAAATTGGTCATATATCAAGGATGGGGAATTCTATCTAAACAGACTTTGCAGGATTCTTGTTAAGTTTATTCTTAAGCTCAGTTAAAAAAAAAAAAAGAGCACTACCTTGATAGAATTAACTGTAAAAAAGTGATTTATTTATAGAAATAGAACCATAAAACACACAAACCAGGGACCCAAGATGATTGCTGGGTCTCCTTTAGAGACAGTTGGGAGGCATGATTAAATGCCAAAGACAGTCTCATCTATACAAGTCTTAGTCAAGCATTATGTGGAGGTAGATGAAAACTGAAAGGATCTCTCAATGGCCCTTCAAATGTATGAAGATTTCTCATTCAGGACTGAAGGAAATAGAGGTTAAAAAGAGAAAAAATCCTAAGTGGACACATAGGTACTACAGTAATAGGGTATTGGGCAGGGGGGAGGGGAGAGAAGGGCGGGTATATACATACATAATGAGTGAGATGTGCACCATCTGGGGGATGGTCATGCTGGAAACTAATATGCCGAAATAAAAAAATAAAAAAAGAGAGAGAAAAAGTAAGTACATAGTTCCTTCTAGGGGATGAAATAGGTTCATTGGGGTGAGATCTCTGCATTGGACTGGGAAATGCCCTCAAGGGCGCTGACCACCTCTGGGTCCCAGTCACTGAACACTACAAGTCCCAGCAAGCGCCGCGGCGAGGGCGGGGCTTGCTGCCCGCTGTGACGTTGTGGGTGGGACCAGGTGGGAACGGCTCTCCCGTGGGCTTTTAGCCCCGCCCCTATCCCGTTCCCTGCCCTGTTGCTGTTGCGCTGCTGCTGGCTGCTACCCCTGGTGAGTCCCTGCAGTGGAAGGGGGCGCTTCAGCCCTCCGGTTACCCACACTCTGATTTCTAGTCCTGAGAAAGGTCCAAAGGTGGGTAGAGGGGCGGCCGGTTTCGGGTTTCACCACAGTCCACCCTCGAGAGTGATAGTCCTGGAGGCCCTGGAGGCCTTTCCGCTGCCTTGGAGGGTTAAGAGGCAGTTTTCTCTGAGGAGGGCAGGGCTGCAGGGCCTGGCCGGATGGGAGGCTCCTTGGGACACCTCTGACGCGAGGGTCTGGACGCGGCAGCCCCCTGGGGCCCGAGGTCGTGGCTTCCGTAATCCCTCGCCTTGACGTAATCGCCCTTGGCTTCTAGGCAAAGGCGGGGCCCTGCCGCCTCCTCCTGGGCAAGTTACTTTCTCTTTGGGCCTCAGTTTCCCCCTCTACGGGTAGGTTTGACCCCTGAAACACTTTTCCGTTTGCATTCTGCAATTGCAGAAGGAAATGTTCTACACAGTCTGGAAGGAAAGGAGGTGTAGTGCCCTGCTGCTTTACAGCTGATCTCCCGTTGCTCCTCCCCACCGCCACCATTAGCCCAATTTAGTTTGGGGGCTAAAGTTCCCACTCACATAGGATTTCAACCCCACCGGGCATGTTAACTTTTTGCTATCACTTGGGTTCTTTGCTCCAGATGCAAGCCAACAAGTGGCCATGGTTGGAGCTGAGTAGAATAATATAGATGATTTTTAACTTTTCTCCACTATTGCAAAAACCATTTAAAGCAAAGGACTTTTTGCAGTATGTCTTTGTAGCTTATGTAGAACACATGATTGAGGAATATCCAGATGGCGTATTTTCAGGAGGCCTTGAAACTCTATCTTTTAGCAGACATGACAGCTGAGGAGTAGAAAGGACCTTGAAAAAAGGGTAGTCTGTAGTCCTGAGTTACCTGGCTAACGAGTTATATTGTCTTTTGAGTCAGATAGTATATCTGGGGCACCTTTAAAAACGTGGCTGTACTTATTGATAGACTCTCTCACATCCTTATTTTCTTAGATGAAAAGAGACACAGTTGAAATGAACTCTTTCACTTCCTTTTTCTTTTACTTAGGATCATCACTATAGCTAGAAAGGTCCTTAGAGATTTTCTAGCCTTATCCACACATTTTACTGATGAGGAAACAGAGTCCAAGAGGAGTTAGTGTGACTTGGCTAAATTTCAGAGATAATGGGTGGCAGAACTAAGACAGGAACCCAAGTCCCTTGTTCCCTAGCCTAGTCCCCTTTCCACCACACTTCAAACACTGTCACTGCCCATGTCACAGAGACATGGCATAGTAGAGTCTCCTCTTTCAAGGAAAAAGTGGATAGTCTCAGTAAAATGGAGATTTCATACATAGCTTTGAGCTTTTCACAGTTTCTTTCAGTTGCTTGCATCTCATGTCCCAGAACTGCTTTTCTGTTCTCTCCTCGAACTGGTGCTGGTACTGTTGTGGTGTGGTATGTGGGATGAGGGCCTTCGGACAAACTGGGCAGCCAATTCAAACAGTTGTTAACATAGAGTGTTAACGGCCTTCTGGGGGCATAAAATTTTTATAAGGCACTCTGAAATGTTTTAGGTAAGGAGCTAGAATGAACTTGGAAATTTTGGACTAGAGCGAGTGGCTCAATAATTTTAGGACCAGTGATTGTGCCTTTGCTTTTGCTACCTGTCTCAGGGCCATCTACACACCCGTAGTATCCCCTGCCAGTGTTCTCTAAGGGTAGTTATGTGTAAGCATCTCTGCCAGGGCCAGGGAGGAATGGGAGTCAAATCAGTTCATCCATTTTGCTAATTGCTAATCGTTTAGAAAGTAAACTACAGCAGGATGAAGGAATTCGATTAAGTATGTGTTTGACTTATCTTTGTACTGTTCCCAAATGAGGAATTGATTTGCATTTCTCTCTTAGCTGTGGAAGCATTTCATTTCATTCTGGGAATTAATCCAGAGAAGCTACCTATAGTCTTCATTTCTCTTGAAATGTGCCCACTGGTATAAAAAGCTAATGTAAAAATGTTGGGCATTTAAAATTTTTTCTGCTAAAAAGCATATCAGTGTGGTTTACAGATTTGCTCAGAAAGAGCAGAAGTAGAACTGACTGTTCTTTTTCTTTGGGAAGACATAAGAGGATCTATACCCTTGTGGAAACAGTCCTGGGAGTAGTATATTAGGTTTGAAAAGCTCATTAGATGAAAATGTGTCAGGTTTTCTTAGAAGCCAGGAGCCAATTCAGGGGACTCATTTTAAAATATATTCCTCTTATTGCCAGCTCCTCTGAGAACTCTAATCTTTTGGAAACTGAGCTGGGAAAAAAAGTAGGTACTATGTCAGATGCCAAGTAAAATGCCTCTCACAGTTTGTGGAATCTGTGAGCTATTTTCTCATGTTTGATTGTTTCGTTTTTAAAAATAGCTATTTGTTTTCCCTGGTCGCTCCTTCTGTGGCCAGGCTTTGATTTGGGGATAGGAGTAAGGAATTAGGTGGAATACCATTTCATAATTTCTATAGGGACCTAATTCATCCCACTGATTTTTCACAACTCAGTAGTTCTCTGGGCTTCTAAATTTAACTTTTGCTCTTATATTTCTTCTCTTTTCCTTACCTATATGAATTACTGCCAAATTAGAAGTGGATGGTGGACAGCTTTTATAGTGGGAAGGATGGTTAAAGGAGAGGGATGTTGGTGCTTAAATCATTCCAGTTTTCTTTCCATATCTTCTTTCCCTCCTCCTTCCACAAATGCTCACTTCTAGACTGGTTTATCACAAAGGTGATTTCCCAAGCCATGGTTGGAGCCCATTTCTCCCAGGGAATTTTATCACTGAGAGGAAGGAAAGACTTTAAGGATCACTGGCCTTAAAACTCAACAGATGCCTTATCTCCAGGAAAAGTTGAATGGAATACTTCTCACTGACCCAGTTCAGGGTGGTGTGGTCATACTCTAGGTTTACCCCTGCCCTTTGTGTCCTCAACTTGGTAAAAAGGAGAAGAAGGGAAGCCACTGTTGTTCTCCAGTCTCCCTGCCTCCTTAACCCCTTCCCCTCTTTTGGCAGAGGAGAATTTGAACCTTATTTCAAGAATGGTAGGCCGGTGTGGTGGCTCAACGCCTGCAATCCTAGCACTCTGGGAGGCTGAGGCGGGAGGATCGTTCAAGGTCAAGAGTTCGAAACCAGCCTGAGTGAGACTCTGTCTCTATTAAAAATAGAAAGAAATTAATCGACCAACTAAAAATATATATACAAAAAGTTAGCCGGGCATGGTGTCACATGCATGTAGTCCCAGCTACTTAGGAGGCTGAGGCAGTAGGATCGCTTGAGCCTAGGAGTTTGAGGTTGCTCTGAGCTAGGCTGACACCATGGCACTCACCCTCGCCTGAGCAACAAAGTCAGACTCTGTCTCAAAAAAAAAAGAATGATTGAGTTCTGTATTCAGAGTGCCATCGAATGTCCTTTGAGTCCCTTCTGGGAAGGTGATGAGATCTCTCAAATGGGAAACTTCATGGAATCTCTTGCATTTTTGATGTGCAAGGAACCAAAGCTGTTGACTTTGACTATACACTCAAGCCTCAGAAAATGAACACCTTCATGTCATTTTGTATATGTGTGTTTTCCTTCCTTCCTTCCTTCCTTCCTTCCTTCCTTCCTTCCTTCCTTCCTTCCTTCCCCTCCTCTCGCGCCTCCCTCCCTTCCTTCTTCTTCTTCTTTCTTTCTTTCTTTTCTTTCCTTTTCTTTCTTTCAGAATCTCGCTTTGTTGCCCAGGCTAGAGTGAGTGCCGTGGGATCAGCCTAGCTCACAGCAACCTCAAACTCCTGAGCTCAAGCGATCCTACTGCCTCAGCTCCAAGTAGCTGGGACTACAGGCATGTTCCACCATGCCCAGCTAATTTTTTGTATATATATTAGTTGGCCAATTAATTTCTTTCTATTTATAATAGAGACGGGTTTCGCTCTTGCTCAGGCTGGTTTTGGTTTTTGTTGTTGTTGTTTTTTCTTTTTTTTTTTGAGACAGAGTCTCGCTTTGTTGCTCAGGCTAGAGTGAGTGCCGTGGCATCAGCCTAGCTCACAGCAACCTCAAACTGACCTCAAGCAATTCTACCGCCTCAGCCTCCTGAGTAGCTGGGACTACAGGCATGTGCCACCATGCCCGCCTAATTTTTTCTATATGTATTAGTTGGCCAATTAATTTCTTTCTATTTATAGTAGAGACAGGGTCTCTTGCTCAGGCTGGTTTCGAACTCCTGACCTCGAGCAATCCGCCTGAGCAATCCGCCTGCCTCAGCCTCCTAGAGTGCTATTACTGGCGTGAGACACCGCGCCCAGTCGTGTGTTTTCCTTTCTTCAGTGCTCTGCTCATGAGCTAACTTAGATTGGTTGTTTTTCTAGTAAGGAAAGAGAGGCTGTACTAAGTCATCCATACCCTTGGCTAGTCTTGCCTTTCAGAGTAGCATCCATTTGCAGAAGAGCTTGCTAGAGTTTGACAGTGTGGAAGGTGGGTAATGGACTGTGAATTTGATGGGTTCTTAAAGAAATCAAATCTGTACCTTTTGTTTTTTGGCACCATGCCACTTGAACCAGCCATGCCAGCTAAACCAGCCATACCAAGAATTGACTTAGCACATGGAGATTATCATCTCCTCACCCTGTTTTAGAAAAGAAAAAGCTGATAAACAGTAGCTTCCCCAATGGTAGATAACAAATTAAGACCAGGGATTTAAAAAAAAGAACTCTTAGCTCCAGAGTCACCCTAACCTGCAGAACCCCTTCCTTTTTCACAATTTGATGAATGATGTACATATCTTGTTCATTCATTTATTCAACAAATACTTAATCCAGAATTACTATGCCTTAGGCATCATGTTGTAAATACAGTGGTGACAGTGGGTTTTTTTTGTTTTGTTTTTTTTTGAGACAGACTCTTGCTTTGTTGCCCAGGCTAGAGTGAGTGCCATGGCGTCAGCCTAGCTCCACAGCAACCTCAAACTCTGGGCTCAAGCGATTCTCCTGCCTCAGCCTCCCGAGTAGCTGGGACTACAGGCATGCGCCACCATGCCCAGCTAATTTTTTCTGTATATTTTTAGCTGTCCAATTAACTTTTTTCTATTTTTGGTTGAGACGGGGGGGGGGGGTGTCTCACTCTTGCTCAGAGCTGTTTTCAAACTCCTGAGCTCAAGCAATCCTCCCGCCTCGGCCTCAGAGTGTAGGGATACAGGATGAGCCCCGTTAAGTCATTCTCTCCGAGTATTTATGAGTGTATCTAAGAAATTTTATCATTTTACAGGCTCAGATAAATTGGTGCTCCAGGCTTAGAACAGAGTGCAGGCCTCAGTATGACTGGAGACCACTAGGGAAAAAGGGTCTGCAAGCTGAGAAACCTCTCTGCCCACCCTCCTATAGCCTCCAAGAGAAACGCTCATCACAGTTTATAATGGGGAAAAGTCTTGACCTAGACTGGAACTCCTCCCCCACCATCAAAAACTGTTCTGAGGTTTGAGGTTGATGATGTAGCTAAACTGTGCTACTAACAAGAAAGTAATACATTTCTTAGTTCTTTAGCTCAATCCCAAGAATAGACAGTTCAGTGCCCTGAAGTCCCATTGTCTTCTTTGTGAAAGAAAACTGACTTCTGGGGAGTTAGAAGTAATGAAGTCTTCATAAAAGGCCCTAAAGGACAAGGTTCAGAGAGCTTCAGTCTAGCCAAACATGTGGAGGTTCCTGGAGGGTGGTGCACCTGGAGAGGGCGTGCAAGCCTGTGCTCCTTCTCTTGTCCCTCACTGTACACATCTCTTCACCTGTATCCTTTGTAATATCTTTTATAATAAGCTGGTAAATGTAAGGTTATTATAATGCTGTGAGCCCCACCAGCAAATTAATTGAATACAAAGAAGGTTGGTCAGAAGTTCTGGAGGAACAGACTTCCAACTGGTATGTGTGGGCGGAGGAGTACTGGGGACAGAGTCCTCAACCTGTGGGATCTGATGCTATCTCTGGGTAGACAGTGTTAGGATTGAACAGGAGGACGTCCAGTTGCTCCCCACCCTCCTTTGGTTGGAGACATCTTTTGTGTTGGTGGTGGTTGTGGTGTGAGAGCAGAAGAAAATATAGTTGAGTTTTTCTAAACACCTTGTAAAACCCTGGGTTGAGAATCATGGACTCACTAAATGTTAGACCTGCCAGGCATTTATAAGTCTGTGCATGTGATTTGTTTGAGGGGCAGGAAGTATCAGGTATCAATAATTCAAAACATTTTATTTCTTTTATGTATTGTTTTTACCTCCAAAATAGTTTGCTTTTTTTTTTTTTTTTTTTTAAGAGAGAGGGTCTCACTGTGTTGCTCAGGTTGGACTTGAACTCCTGGGCCTCAAGCTTCTCCCGACCTTCAGCTCAAGGTACCTGGGACTTTAGCGACGGGTGGCGGCTGGTTTGTGGCCATTCCTTTTTTTTTTTTTGTTTTTTTTTTTTGGAGACAGAGTCTCACTTTGTTGTCAGGCTAGAGTGAGTTCGCCGTGGCGTCAGCGCTAGCTCACAGCAACCTCAAACTCTGGCTCGAAGTGAGCCTTCTTGCCTCAGCCCTCCCCGGGTAGCTGGGACTACAGGCCATGCGCCGACCATGGCCCGGCTAATTTTTTATATACGTATATATCAGTTGGGCCAATTGAATTTCTTTCTATTATAGTAGAGACGGGTCTCGCCTTGCTCAGGGCTGGTTTCGAACTCCTGACCTTTGGAGCAATCCGCTGCCCGCCTGCGTTTCCTCCCAAGAGCTGAGGGATGATCAGGGTGAGCCCCCCGACGAGCGCCCGGCCGATCAGGCTGGTTTTGAAACTTCCTGGACCTTAACATCCACGCCCGCCTCGGGCTCCCAAGGCAGCTCAGGAGTTACAGGGTGAGCCACCAGCCCGGCGCTGTGGTTTTCCCATCTTGATCACATTTTATCTGTACTGTGATCTAGAAAGGTGAAACACAGGTTATTATCCCCATTTTATAGACAGGGATCCAAACTTTCTCTCTGACTTCCAATCATGCTGCATTTTTCTGGTTCTTTGCTGTGACTCATGCTGTTTCCTTCACCTGAAATGCCCTCACTCACAAACCCACTTGTCAAAATCCTAATCTTCTTTGAGGACTAATCTAAGATTCTACTCATTCCCTGAAGCTTTTTAAAAAATTTTTCTTTCTTTTTTTTTTTTTTTCTCTTTTTTTTTTTTTGATGACAGAGTTATGGCTTGTGCCCGAGGCTAGAGTTGAGGTGCCGTGGGCGTCAGCCATAGCATCACAGCACACCTCACAACTCCTCGGCCGCCAATCCGTTCCGCCTCAGCCTCCCAATACTGCGGACTACCGCATCGCGCACCTCATGCCCACCGGCTCTATGTCTTTTGGTATATAGTATAGATGAAGCCAATTAACAGTTTGCCTTCTTACCTTTTCTATAGTAGACGATGGGTCCTGTCTTGCTCAGGGCTGGTTCTCCGAACTCCTGAGCACCCTCGAGCAATCCGCCCGCGCTCGGCCTCCCAGAGAGCTAGGATTACAGGCGTGAGCCACCGCGCCCGGCCTAAAAAATTTTTCTAACCAGTTTTATCTCTCCCTCTTTTGAACCCCAGAGCATTTTGCACTTCTTATTCCATTCATTTGGCAGTCACTTGTATACTCATCTATCCTCTGTATTAGATTGGGATCTGTTTTAGGGCAAAAACTATAGCAGTAATAATCACTAACATCTGTTAAACTGTTTCTTTGTGCAGACTCTGTGCTAAGTACTGGAGTGCCTACTATATGGCAGGCACTGATTTAAGTGTTGGGTGCTTTATATTATTTCACTTAGGCCTCACAAAAAAAAAAACAAAAAACGAATGGGGTTATTATTAGTCCTATTTTACAGATAAGAGAAAAAGCACAGAGCCCAGTCGATTAAGTAAATTTGCCCGTCATGAATTTAGTAGGTGGTGAAGCTGGAATTTGACTGCACCATTCTGATTTCAGAACCCATGCTTGTCACCACTACATGTCAAATAATCTTCTCTCATGTCTTTCTTCTCCCTCCCATCCCCAGCTCCCAGCAGAATGTTTACTTATGCAAGGGCCCAGTAATTATAGATAAATGGAATTGAACGAAGAAGCAAGCCAAACTCCAGAAAGACTGACTTTCCTAATAGGGCTTGTTGGGATGAAAAATCTAGAATTTAAGTCTTATAATTCCCAGCTATTTTCTCTTGGCTGCTTTATTTATTTAAGGCATTTAGAGAAAGGGGAACAAACTAATTACAAGCAGAGAGGGTATGTTAGGGTAGTGGTGCCTATGGTGAAGAGGTCAAAGATAATCTCAGAAAATTCTAATAGTGTAGGAAGTTATGAATGGGAAATGGCTCAAAGTGAAACAGAAAGCAAGTTGTGTGATCTCAATACTTGTCAGGATTTTGCTTTTCATGAGTTGGCTTTGAACGGAATGTTCCCTGGACGAGAGCCCAGAAATCTCCAACATTTCAGACAACCCTTTTTGAGCCTTACTCTCTTCTATATTTCATAACAGGACCCCCACCATGGAACAGACAATAGAAGATCCCCCCACATCAGCTGTCTTGCTGGATCACTGTCATTTCTCTCAGGTCATCTTTAACAGTGTGGAAAAGTTCTACGTCCCTGGAGGGGACATCACATGCTATTACACCCTTACCCAGCATTTCATCCCCCGTCGAAAGGATTGGATTGGCATCTTCAGGGTAAGTGGTTAATTTATTACCAAGTGATCAGGAACTAGAGGTGAATTTTAGTTACCCAGATGTGTGACCCTCTCTGTGTGTTATAAGCATTTTGTATATTATGCATGGCAAATTTTAAAATCCTAAACTAAACTCCCTAGACCTTTGCTCTTTTTTTTTTTTTTTGGAGACAGAGTCTTACTCTGTTGCCCGGGCTAGAGTGCCACGGTGTCAGCTTAGCTCACAGCAACCTCAAATTCCTGGGCTCAAGCTATCCTGCCTCAGCCTCCTGAGTAGCTGAGACTATAGGCATGCACCACCATGCCTGGCTAATTTTTTCAATATATTTTTAGTTGGCTGATTAATTTCTTTCTATTTTTAGTAGAGACAGGGTCTCACTCTTGCTCAGGCTAGTTTCTAACTCCTGACCTTGAGCGATCCTCCTGCCTGGGCCTCCCAAAGTGCTAGGATTACAGGCGTGAGCCACCACGCCCGGCTGACCTTTGCTCTTAACACACCAATGTGTGCTGTGGGACTCAAGTTTTAATTTCAATCTCAAGTAAAATAAGATGGTAAATGATACAATCCCCAAGTTTTATTATGCTTTTAAAAACCAAATAGACGGGAAAAAAAAATTTTTACAAATAAAGATGGCTATTATAACGGAAAAAAAAACAACTAAATAGAAATGCTTTCAAATGATCCTATTTTGAAATATTTGTGTATGACTTGACTGAGATGGGGTGACCCCTATATAATTTCTGTGACATTAAATATTACTTCCTTACTTGGTACAGTGTTTGTTTTAATACAAATATCACAAATCTGGAAAAAATGTTGAGAAATTATCTAGTCTGACATCCTGTATCCAAAAAGTTCATTCCTGAATAAGAGTGTCTCACTACTTTGTAAAGATTTCCAAGGATAGAAAGTTTATGATGAGCTCCCTCAGTGACCTCTTCCAGTGTCTAATCACCATGTCAGTTCAAGTACAGAAATGATATTTTAAAATTTTAATTAACTTACTCTCTGTGTCCCCTTCTCCCTCTTACACATCGCACATGCACCATAATGACGAATGTTTATTTCCAGAGACGGGAAATAAAGGTCAAACTTAAGTAATTTATACTGCTGAGTCCCAACGTCAGTGACCTTTGGTTTGACACCTCAGTATGTCATGTGCCTGTTTGCCAGTACTGTTCATCCTGAAACCAGACACCATTCTTGACTGCACTGGGAATGAGCTGTGGCTCATTTACATCCCTTGTTGAATGCCTTTTCCTTAATTGTTTGGAATATCAAGCTTATTGATGGAGGAGTGGAAGCTGGAAGTAACAAGACTGGCGTGTGGAGTAGGGATAATGGACAACCCTCAGGACACTGTTAGGTGTCTTGACGGCTCCTGAGACCGCAGGATATCAAATCATCAGACTAACGGGTGTTCTAACACAGAAAACTGGCATACTCAGAGTGTTTTCTATCTTGGAAAGTAGATGGTAGCTATTGTTTTTCTTCTTCCCTTATATGTAGCAAAGTACATAGATCAGCATTGCCTGGTAGAATTTTCTGCAATGGAGCTGTACCTTTGCTGTGCAGTACAGAAACCGCTGGCCACATGTGGCCCTTAAGCACTTGAAAAATAGCTAGTGTGACTGAGTAACTGGATTTTAAATTTTACTTAATTTTAATTAATTTAAATAGCCTCGTGGCTAATGGCATCATATTGGACAGTGCAGGTATAGATAATAAAAAAGAGAATGATTCAAAAATTACTAGGTTTTGGCCAGGCGCGGTGGCTCACGCCTGTAATCCTAGCACTCTGGGAGGCCAAGGCGGGCGGATTGCTCGAGGTCAGGAGTTTGAAACCAGCTCTGAGCAAGAGCGAGACCCTGTCTCTACTATAAATAGAAATAAATTAATTGGCCAACTCATATATATAGAAAAAATTAGCTGGGCATGGTGGCACATGCCTGTGGTCCCAGCTACTCGGGAGGCTGAGGCAGGAGGATTGCTTGAGCCCAGGAGTTTGAGGTTGCTGTGAGCTAGGCTGACGCCACGGCACTCACTCTAGCCTGGGCAACAAAGCGAGACTCTGTCTAAAAAATAAAATTACTAGGTTTTGAAATGTAATCTGCAACTTTTTTTTTGAGACAGAGTCTCATTGTATTGCCTGGGCTAGAGTGCCGTGGGGTCTTGCTCAGGCTAGTCTCTGACTCCTAAGTTCAAGCAATCCTCCTGCCTCAGCCTCCCAGAATGCTAGGATTACAGGTGTGAGCCACCGTGCCCAGCCTGTAACTTTTTTTTTTTTTTTGGAACACAGTTATATTTTTGTTTTGCTTGGGCCAGTTATATTCCCCAGGCACCTAGGAACTGCTAGTGAGGACTTCACCATAAATCAAATGAAAATCTCATACTTTTAAAAAACAAATGTTTAAAGGCATTTAAAAAAAGATGCATTTATATTTGGAATGCTTCATGCATTATTGCCAAATCTCAATAAGGAAATAATGGTTAATCCAAAAAAAAAGGCCTCCAACATTTAGTGTCCATAAAGCTATTGACTTGAACATGTACCCTGAGGACATACTATGTGCTAGGCCTTTGCTGACGTTGTTTATGTGTGAGTATGTGTATGTATGTGTTTTCTAATATCATTTTCACAGCACAGTAGCCCCCCAAAGTAGGTAGTATTATCTCTTGTGCACAGGTGGGTAAAATGAATATCTTTTGGTGACTTTCCCGAGGTCTCACAGTGAGTAAGTGGTGCAGCAAGTTTGACTCCCAAACTTCTGCTTTTTCTCCTCTGCTGAATTCATTTGAACAGCACATGGTAAATTAGAGAATGAAGAGTTGACTGTAAAGCTCTCCCCAGTGTTCTTTCAGTGAAGCCTTAATCAGACCATTCTTCAACTCCTCATCTCCCCTAACACTGGTAATCCCTGGCACCACATAGGCACTCAGTAAATGTTTTTTAATATATGCAATATGTTACATCTTCTCAGTATAGTGAAAGCTACCACCAGTGATGGAGCCTAGAGCAGTAGGAGTCAGCTTTCCTTCCTTCAGTGTATAATCCTGTGCTCCATACTCTTGACCTGGGCATTTAAAATCTTTCTAAGGCAACCTGGGACCAGGACTACTCAAGTGGAACCGCCAAGGACAGAGATTGCAGGTGGCTAGAAGTTGTTTCCTTGTTCCAAGACAGCAGTAATTTTTAGGCCTTCCCAGTCACAGTGCATTAAGAAACTCCAGGATGTGAATGAGAACTCCATAAAATTCCTGCTTCCTGTACCACCGCAGGCTGCAGGGGCTCAGAGATGCTTACAGCAATGGGGTGTGTATTAATGAGACTCTAAAACATACCCTAGTATGTTCTGATGAGCTTTTGGTGTAGCCTTTTCAACCCTGTTCTGATTCCTTAATATATAAAACTGGAATTTATTTATAGTTCTTTCTCTTCCCACTGGGCTCAGACAGGGTCAAAATATGGCTATAAATGTAATTTTGCTTCTCATTTGCTGAGTGTTGTCCCCTCGAAGACACAATGGCTTCTTTTCTATTCTCTGGTGTGCTTTTATCTTCCATATAAGATTTGAGCAATCTTTTACCCCCTTCACATTTAGTGAGGATATTTTCCACTTAGCCAGCTTTCTGCTCTGAGGCATATTTTGCTGTATCCTTACATCTTATGATTTATTACATTCAATACATAGAAGAAGCCTTTATGACTACCAGATTGTTATTAATATCTTTATCACAAAAAAGCCTTCATTACGCGTTCATTAAGAAAAACACTAGCGAAAGAGAACTAAATAGACCTGGATTCTCTTATCTGATGCCTCGTATTCTAAGAACCTTCTTGTCTCTCTGCCCCAGCACACACATTATTCAAAAGAATGCATATTTTAAATGCAGTGATATAACCAGGTTGGTATACAACAAGGCTGAATTGAACACAATAGAGGACAAACCAATGGGAAAGGTGGGTCAGAAGAGCTTTCTGATTTATTATAGAAGTTCTGAGAGCACTATGTAAGAGGATCAGACCTCATAATCCCAGACCTTTTACTCCCAATCGCTCTTATCTCTGTGTCTGTCTTAGAGATACCATTTTTGGAATTCATGTCCTGGGTATTGAGGAACCAGTTCTCATATTTTGAACTATGTATGTGCACCGCAATTTTTAGTTTTGTCATATATTTTCCCATAGTTGTCATAAGTCAGAAAACAAGATTTGAGCTGTGATATGCAAATCTTGTCCTAATGAACTCATTCTATTGTATCATCAACACATACACATACAAAGTAAGTGTATTTTAAGACGATACAGCCCAAATAAGGATTTTCCCCTGAGCCCTTTCAAGTGCTAAATGAGATTTTCTTGTCATCGCAGGTGGGATGGAAGACAACCCGTGAGTATTACACCTTCATGTGGATTACTTTGCCCGTTGACCTAAACAACATATCAGCCAAACAGGAAGTCCAGTTCAAAGGTGAGAAAAATACCAGATCAAAGATGTTGAAGACAGTAGCCAAGACTAATTAATTCCCATGAGCTTGAGCTTTCTGAGGCAGATAAAAAGACTTCCAGAATTTTACTTTTCTGAAAGTCTTTTAATACTTTCAATTTTGGATTAAAAATCATATTGTGTTTTCAGCTTATTACCTGCCCAAGGATGATGAGTATTACCAGTTCTGCTATGTGGATCAGGATGGTGTGGTCCGGGGAGCAAGTATCCCTTTCCAGTTCCGTCCAGAAAATGAGGAGGACCTCCTGGTTGTTACCACTCAGGTCTGTAAACATCTCACCGAAGTCCCTTTCTGCCATTAAGAGTAGCAATTCCAGGATAGAGTGGAATTTGACTCAATAGGTCTTTTTTTTTTTTTTTTTTTTTTTTTTTTTTTTTGAGACAGAGTCTCGCTTTGTTGCCCAGGCTAGAGTGAGTGCCATGGCGTAAGCCTAGCTCACAGCAACCTCAAACTCCTGGGCTCAAGCGATCCTTCTGTCTCAGCCTCCCAAGTAGCTGGGACTACAGGCATGTGCCACCATGCCCGGCTAATTTTTTCTTTATATATTAGTTGGCCAATTAGTTTCTTTCTATTTATAGTAGAGACGGGGTCTCGCTCTTGCTCAGGCTGGTTTCAAACTCCTGACCTCAAGCAATCCGCCCGCCTCGGCCTCCCAGAGAGCTAGGATTACAGGCGTGAGCCACCGCGCCCGGCTCAATAGGTCTTTATTGAATATTTAACAGATATTGTTGGGAAAAATTGATATAATAACCACTCACACCCACTCAGGAATGACTTAGGAATGTTACTTAACAAGAGTCATGGCCGGATGCAGTGGCTCACACCTGTAATCCTAGCACTCTGGGAGGCCGAGGCTGGTGGATTGCTCGAGGTCAGGAGTTCAAAACCAGCTCTGAGCAAGAGCGAGACCCTGTCTCTACTATAAATAGAAAGAAATTAATTGACCAACTAATATATATAGAAAAAATTAGCCAGGCATGGTGGCACATGCCTGTAGTCCCAGCTACTCGGGAGGCTGAGGCAGGAGGATTGCTTGAGCCCAGGAGTTTGAGGTTGCTGTGAGCTAGGCTGACCCCATGGCACTCACTCTAGCCTGGGCAACAAAGTGAGACTCTGTCTCAAAAAAAAAAACAAGAGTTGTAACAATAAATGATTTCTCCCTTCTCTAAAACTTCTGTAACTCAATTGGCCTTTGGTTTTCCCTTCAACTTTTCCAGTTAATTTTTGTCAGCTGCACATCTTAGCAGCACAGTGAATATATATAAGCTCCTTGAGGAGAGAAGCTTTATCTCTTTCAGTTCTGACCCAGTGCCTGGCATACATGAATATTAGATCCATTTACTTTCTCAATCTTTTAACAAGACACCTACTTTTCATCTAGCACTATGATAGGTGCTGGGATGTGAGGAAGAATCAATTTAAACACTGTCCCGGCCTCAAGTAGCTAAGTTTGTTGGGAGAGACAAACAATGCTAAGTGTCCGCAGAAAGAATCTATGCTCTTCTATCCGTTTTTAACTTTTTATGGCCTTAATTTTTCCTTATCTTTCTTGGTAATGGCAAGCTTAATGCTGCAATTGTACAGACATACCTCTCTTTTGCTCTTATCTACGTACTGAGGAGATGTTCCCATTGGGGTAGACAGTGTCACTTCAGTGAAAGGGAATCAGTCAGACCCTCACCATCCCAGCCTTTTGGTATTTGCTGCTAGAGGGACTTAAATGTAGTTTATGGAATGTTCTTTTGTAGGGAGAGGTGGAAGAGATTGAGCAGCAAAACAAAGAGCTTTGCAAAGAAAACCAGGAGCTGAAGGACAGCTGTGTCAGCCTGCAGAAGCAGAACTCAGACATGCAGGCTGAGCTTCAGAGGAAACAGGTATGGCTGCTGGTTAAAGGTGAACTTGGAGCATGGAGATCAGAATTGGATGGTGCCCCTCCCAGTAACATTTTCTGTTTTGCTTATGATCTCACTCCCTTATACCAGTATTTTTGAACAGGCTTGGTGCTAACAGTTTTATATGAATTATTTTATTTAAACTTCACAGCAAACCTTTAAGATAGAGGCTATTATTATTCCAGTTTTAGGATCTGAGGCTTAGAGGGTTTAAGTAATTAGTGATGGAGTCTGGATTCAAACCCAGGCAGTCTGACTACTTCTTCCCATTGCCTGTTTATAGTTTGAAATATTTGCTTTGATTACCTAGAAGATGGACATTGAGAGAGAAAAGTCAGTACTGCTGTATTGCTGGGTATGGTGGCACAGGCCTGTAGTTCCAGCTTCTCAGGAGGCTAAGGCAGGAGGGATCGCTTGAGCCCGGGAGTTCTGGGCTGTAGTGAGCTGTGCCAATTGATTGTCTGCACTAAGTTTAGCAACCTGTGGGAACCACCAGGTTGCCTAAGGAGGCTGGAATGCCTAGGTCAGAAACAAAGCAGGAGTTGATCAGTAGTGGGATTGTGCCTATGAATGGCAACTGCACTCCAACCTGGCAACATAGCAAGACCTCTACAAAATTTTTGTCTCTACAAAAAATAATAAATTAGCCACGCTTGGTGGCCCACAGCTGTAGTCCCAGCTACTCGAGAGACTGAGGTGGGAGGATTGCTTGAGCCCAGGAGTTTGAGGTTGCATTGAGCTGTGATCAGGCCATTGCACTCTAGCCTGGTTGGCAAGCAAAGAATAAATAAATAAAGTAAGGTTGCTACCTCTCCTCTTTTGAATCATCCTTCAAATCAGCTGGTGATGAATGACAGTTGATAATGCTAGCAACTAAGCTAAGGAGGGGTTTTTCTCTAAAGATTATAAACAAGAAATTTGAGAAGCTTGGAGCTAAAAGCAGGGAATTGATATTGATGCACAAGGTTGACTTAAGCGTAGAATGAAATTGAGAAAGGAAAAAAAAACAAATGTCTAGGACCAGTATGAACACTTGAAATGTGGCTTTATTTAAATGTGTTATAATATAATCATAAAATATTAATATATACTGGATTTCAAGATTTAGTATAAAAATATAAAAGATTTCCTTTTACTTGTTTACATGTTGAAATTATATTATAGCTATTTGGGGTTAAATATACTATTATTAAAATTAATTTATCTGTTTTTTACTTTTTTTAATGTACCTACTAAAATTTTTAAATTATATATGTGGACTTATTAATTTAATGGACAGTACTGTTCTAGGAAAAAAGCAACTTTTGTCTGTTTTTGGTTTTTTGTTTGTTTTTTGAGACAGTCTCACTCTCTTGACTGGGCTAGAGTGCCATGACATCAGCCTAGCTCACTCACAGCAACCTCAAACTCCTGGGCTCAGGCAATCCTCCTGCCTCAGCCTCCCAAGTAGCTGGGACTACAGGCATGTGCCACCATGCCCAGCTAATTTTTTCTCTCTCTCTCTCTCTATATATATATATATATATATATATTTTTTTTTTTGAGACAGAGTCTCGCTTTCTTGCCTAGGCTAGAGTGAGTGCCGTGGCGTCAGCCTAGCTCACAGCAACCTCAAACTCCTGGGCTCAAGCGATCCTCCTGCCTCAGCCTCCCGAGTAGCTGGGACTACAGGCACGAGCCACCATGCCCGGCTGATTTTTATATTATATATATTGGTTGGCCAATTAATTTCTTTCTGTTTTTATGGTAGAGACGGGGTCTCGCTCAGGCTGGTTTTGAACTCCTGACCTTGAGCAATCCGCCCGCCTCGGCCTCCCAGAGTGCTAGGATTACAGGCGTGAGCCACCGCGCCCGGCCTCTCTATATTTTTTTAGTTGTCCAATTAATTTATTTCTATTTTTAGTAGAGACAGGGTCTCGCTCTTGCTCAGGCTCGTTTCAAACTCCTGACCTTGAGTGATCCTCCTGCCTCAGCCTCCCAGAGTATTAGGATTACAGGCCCGAGCCACCACTCCCAGCCTGGCCTGTCTGTTTTGTCTACTGGGGTGTCTACAGTGCTAGAACAGTGTCTGGGGTGTAGTAGGCACTCGTTAAATGTTTGTTTGATGGATTAATGGACAAATACAAGTTCCAGTGGAAGAGAAATTAAGGTAGATGCATTTTTAACATGGGAAGAACATATTAAAAACATTTTAGTATGGAAATCTCTTTGCTTGGATATTTCATTCACTGCTGTGTCATGCTATACCTGACATATAGTAAGTGCTCAATAAACAAAAACTATCTTAGAAGTGATCTGTTCCTTTGATGATGTTTCAACCCACAGGAGGAGCTAGAAACACTCCAGAGCATCAATAAGAAGTTGGAACAGAAAGTGCAAGAGCAGAAGGACTATTGGGAGACAGAGCTGCTTCAGTGAGTGTGTCCTGTAATTCTAGGATGGGAGCAGCTGCTATATTATAGCCACTCTTACATAGAATCAGATTAGATTTCTGGAATTTGTTAGAAAACACTGTTAGGACAATGATAGGTATGATTCTCCCCCTTTGAATATGAGCTCTTTAATTTTAGGTTAGAGAATTGGTATCAGAATAGTCAGGAGAAATGATCTAAATTCAAATATTAACTTTAGGCATTGAACACTTGCAGTTGTTTGGGGTCAGGAAGCCAAAACAGGACTACAGTGGAGACTAGTGGATTTTAAAATAACTCTGTGCAGGCGTAGAGCCAAGCCAGCCTGAAATCATTTAAGGCCAGAGAAGCTGACCTGGAAGCAGTGAATATTTCACATGGTCATCTCCACCTCCACAGCCTGAAAGAGCAAAACCAGAAGGTATCCTCAGAAAACGAGAAGATGGGAATAACAGTGGATCAGCTTCAGGTAGGTTATACCATACCTTTACCAAAGGATAGTTTCTTAGCCTTGCGGTCACTTCAATTTGGTGGCCCAGAAAGATGCATTTCATTGTGGTGAGTGTCTAATGGCATACCTTTCACAACATCAGACTAAAGTTTCAGGTAATGTGTTTTCCATTGTTGAACCAGGTAAGCCCCTTACCCATTCCTTTTTTTTCCCTCCCATTTTTCCATTCCCATTTTTTTAACAGTCATGGTCCATAAGGAACTTAATAAGTTGTTCAATTTATATTTATCATGAGCTCTTAAGATAGATGACAGTCCATATCAATGACTAAAGCTTCATCTTTTCAAAAAATCTAACTCAAAAGCCTAGAATATAAAGCAGATAGCAGAACTGCTTTCACTCTTAGGAAGCTATGCATTGGGGACTTTAAAGAGTGGTTCATCTAAGACTCAATTGAGCCTTAGATTTTCAGGTATAAAGTAGAGCTGAAAAGTAAAGGAGTTTTAAGGGAAATTTAGGAGTTGCTAGGGAAATACATCTCTTTGTGTTATTGTACATGGAAAAAAAAGCATTGTTCCTGTTTTGTTTTCCTTCTCTTATATCTTGGTTATATTCTGTTTTTGCTTTAGGCACAGCTATCAACTCAAGAGAAAGAAATGGAGAAGCTTGTTCAGGGAGCTCAAGATAAGACAGAGCAGTTAGAGCATCTGAAAAAGGAAAATGGCCAGCTCTTCCTCAGTTTAACTGAACAGGTAGAATCATGGGAGAAAGTAACATTTTTAGGCATTTGCAAGAAAACATACATCATTTCTTTCTGTACACGTATGTATCACTGGCTCTGAGAAAGGTCTCAGAGAAAGCCATCTGAAAGGAGGTATCTCATGGCTTTACTCAGAAACTAACAAGAGAAGACTTGCCTCTCCCTCTGCATCCTGCTTGCTCATCAGCTCCCTGGTGCATGTGTGTGTTTTCCCAGCGTTGATACTGACATCTGTTTTTGTGCAGAGGGAGCACCAGAAGAAGCTGGAGCAGACAGTGGAGGAGATGAAGCACAAAGAAAGTGCTGCAGCGAAGAAGCAACAGGAGTTAACGGCATGTCTGTCTTTGGATGGCTATGTGGGAGGGAGCCTGAAGACAGGATGGGAGAAGGGTCTATTGTCAGTGATGGAGAGGATAAGTAAGGCAGACTGGAATAGCTTTCACCTCTGGATATTTTGCTTTCTCCCCCAAAAGGACAGAGAATCTACCACATACAAAATGTTTAGGAGAGGTGGGCGTTTCTAATGTGTGATGAGTGATAAAGGAATATTGAGTGTTAAACTTCTTAATAGGTTATAGTAAACAGATCCTTGGACTGGAGATTGCACAGAATAGCCCCTACCCTGCCTTATGGAGTTACTGTGGGAGCAGCAGATGAATGGTTACAAAGAGCTCTACAACAGGAAAATACACCACTCAAAGCAAATTCTGTTGTAATTAATATATTAGCAATTATCATTATTATAAATTATTCTGAGTTCAGTAATACAGTAATGAAAGCCTACTTGACTAATAATTTCCTATAATATATTGTTGGAAAAGAGGCCTCATGGTGCTAAAAGATACCTGGAAGCCCCATTTTCTGAATTGATCTCAACGCATGAGAAATCCTGCTATCTGTGGGATACCCAGCTGTTGGGATTGTAACTCACATCATATACACATCATCCAATCAATTATTATTCAGTCAATTATTGAGTACCTACTGTATATAAGATACTATATGCTTTAGTGTGATATGGTAAAGAGTAGAACAAAGTTTGAAAATTGGCAGCTCACAAGTCAAGGTTGGCCCACAGCAATGTTTTATTTGGCCTCAATGTTTTTTTTAGAAATTAGTTACAAACATTTTACAATGGGAACATTTCCCATAAAAATTTTGTATTTCCAGCTCCTTTTGAAAAATTAGAAGATCTGGTAACGTTGAGCCCACATTCCTTCACAGCAGCAGTACCTGGTGCTAGCTAGGTCGCTGCTGTGCCCAGTAGATGTGTCATGTGTTCTCCATTTAGCTGCAGTCTTCACCGCTTCATTACGTTTCTTGCCTGCCCCTATACATTCAAGTTTATGACATCTGATATAGCAAAGACATTACTGTTTTAAATAATCTGTAGTCACTCCAAGGTTTGAACCTCCCTGTGACAGGTATAAATTTCCTTGGTTTTCATAGAATATTTTGTAAGACCTAGAGACTCCCCACCTGGCTGATAGCAATTCTTTGTTCCTCATGCATCCCAAAGGCCTCTAACTATGGGGACTATGTATCTTATGCTTCAGGAGCCTAAGAACCAGAAAACAGCAGTGGAGGAGCAGTTAGTGCAAGAGGTGGAACGCCTAAAGGCAAAGGTAGAGGCCGGGAAAGCCTGTTTCTTAGAGAAGTACAAAGAATGTCACCGACTTCACAAACAGATCAGGCAACTCAGGGTTGCTGCAATGGTAGGTGCCAGAGATAAGGGGCCCAGGAGAAAAAGGGGTGTGAAGGTCAGTGGTTCTTAGAAAAAGCCCAGAAAACTGTATACCCTTGTTAGGGAGAGAAATTTATCTTTCTGCTAACATGAGGAGGGATATCATATAAAGCCAGAAACTATTAAATAGCATGGGGGTCCCTGGAAGTGTAGGCCTCGGCTAAGCCATGGGTGTCAGGGAAGGTTTTTGTAACCATTGAGCAGGTTTCTGTGCAGACTCAGATAGCCTTTTCTCATTTCTGCCTTTTGAGGAAGTGAAGCAGTACCAGAAGAGCCGGCAGGAGCCGATGGGGATGGGGAGCAAGGAGTCTGCAGTGAGCACTGTCATCGGGTAGTTCCTCTCGCATTACTACCTCAGGGTCGGCTAGAAGCACGCAGCAGTTTGGGCACCAGCATTCAAATAAAAAATCATGGAACAAAAACCACAACTAGCAGGATTAGCTTAAGTGTGTTTGTGAGGTGTGTGCATGCGTAGGTACCCAGGTAGGAGATGGGAAGCACTGAAGCTTGAAACCAGTTAGGTCAGCCCATCACATGGGGAAGCCCAAGACCCCAGTCTGGGTTCCTCATGGCCATGGACAAATGCCTTCCAGCGTTCCCTCTTTCTCCGTGTAACCTGAGTCCACATGCTTATCCTCGTGATGTGGGAGGGAATGACATCCTCCTAAACCTAAGTGCTTCAGGCTTCATTTGACTGAGGTGTTTATTTAAAACAAAAATGTACTCTGGGAGGCCGAGGCGGGTGGACTGCTCGAGGTCAGGAGTTCAAAACCAGCCTGAGCAAGAGCGAGACCCCGTCTCTACTATAAATAGAAAGAAATTAATTGACCAACTAATATATACTAGGCTGACGCACGGCACTCACTCTTCAGCCTGGGCAAACAAAGCAAGACTCTGTCTCAAAAAGGGGGGATGGTCTTTTGGGACAGTGGGTAAAACATGCTGCTAAATAAAGAGTAAATTTAATCTGGTTTCCTAGTTCACAAAACCCTGTCTTTGTTCTACAATGGAAACTTGTTTGGCATAGCAATAGTTAACCTGGGAAGGAGCAGCATTGAGGAAGACCTAACTCTATTTTTGCTTTTAACTTCACAGCTATTGTAAGTATTGCCTTGGGGATATAACATCCTATATCATTTTATGCTAGCTGGGGGACCCTTTCCTTCAGTACAACTTTTTCCTTTTTCTCTGCTGCCAAACGGAGTAGAAGTGGTGGTCTATACCAGTGCTGGACCCATGTAGGCCCCTGATAAATGCTATGTATTCGTCATTCATCAATCGTTCATTCATCCAACCAATATTTATCATCTGCTGTGTGTTAACACTAAGTTATTGTTAATTAATTGATTGAGATGATATGGCAGCAAATAAATGGTTGCACTTGAATTCACGCTCATGCTTTTGCCCAGCATCAAAAGGATAGGTGTCTGTGCACTATGGCTGCTACTCTCTCTGTACTGCTTCAGTTCTACACCTCTGCTCTCCCTGTAGCATTTCTAGGCTATGCTTCCAAGTGATCATTTCTGCTTTTTTTTTTAATTGTGGGAAAAACACATTACAAGGCGGGCGCGCGGGGTCACGCTGTAATCCTAGCTCTCTGGGAGCCGAGGCGGGCGATTGCTCGAGGTCGGGAGTTCGAAAACCAGCCTGAGCAAGAGCGAGACCCGTCTTACTATAAAATAGAAACTAATTGGCAACTAATATATATAGAAAAAATGAGCCGGGCATGGTGGCTCATGCCTGTAGTCCCAGCTACTTGGGAGGCTGAGACAGAAGGATCGCTTGAGCCCAGGAGTTTGAGGTTGCTGTGAGCCAGGCTGACGCCACGGCACTCACTCTAGCCTAGGCAACAAAGCGAGACTCTGTCTCAAAAAAAAAAAAAAAAAAAAAAAAAAAACATTACATAAAATTTACCATCTTAATAATTTTAAAGTATACAGTTCAGTAGTGTTAAGTCCAGAACTTTTCCATCTTGTAACACTGAAACTTCATACCTACTAAACACTAATTCCCTGTCGATAATTTCTACTTTTGATTATATCATTTATGCCAATATTTTGTCTTTTTTTTTTTTTTTTTTTTTTGTGAGACAGAGTCTTACTCTGTTGCCCTGGCTCGCGTGCTGTGGCATCAGCCTAGCTCACGGCAACCTTAAACTCCTGGGCTCAAGAGATCCTCCTGGCCGGGCGTGGCTGCTCACACCTGTAATCCTAGCACTCTGGGAGGCCCAAGGCGGGAAGATCGCTCAAGGTCAGGAGTTCGAGACTAGCCTAAGCAAGAGTGAGACCCCGTCTCTACTAAAAATAGAAAGAAATTAGCTGGACAACTAAAAATATATATAGAAAAAATTAGCTGGGCATGGTAGTGCATGCCTGTAGTCCCAGCTACTCAGGAGGCTGAGACAGAAGGATTGCTTGAGCCCAGAAGTTTGAGGTTGCTGTGAGCTAGGCTGACACCATAGCACCCTAGCCCAGGCAACAGAGCAAGACTCTGTCTCAAAAGAAAAAAAGAGATCCTCTTGCCTCAGCCTTCTAAGTATCTGGGACTACAGCCATGCGTCACCACGCCCAGCTCTTTTTTCTGATTTTAGTTGCCTGGCTAATTTTTTATGTTTTTAGTAGAGATAGGGTCTCGCTCTTGTTCAGTCTGATCTTTAACTCCTGACCTCAAGCAATCTTCCCATCTCAGCCTCCCAGAGTGCTAGGATTACAGATGTGAGCCACCATGTCAGGCTTGCAGAAGGCTTTTGGGATCTATTTCTGGTCTTGCCCTTTTTTTTTTTTTTTTTAAAGAG